CCTTGAGGTGTTTTCTTTACTTTAATTATTTTGAATAATTCTTCTGTCCAATTTGAGGTTGCGCCTTTTTCAAAAATAGATTTAGCTCGAGTTATGCGTACGAAATCACCAACTTTATATGGAATTTGTTTCTTCAAATTTTTCTTTTGTGCTTTAAAGATATTACTGCGAGCTTTGCTTGGGTAAAGTAATGCTTCTTTAGGTGACATTTTGATTGTTCGATGATAAGATGAATTATATGCATCGATGATTTCCTCTAAAGCATCAATATATTGTTGACTGTTTTTAAAATGCATATATCTGTAAATCCTTGTTCGTAAAGTACGGTTGAATCTTTCAACTATCGCACATTTAATCACATCATCCGTTGATGTGAAATGATTAACATTATTATTTGTTAAGTATTCTTTCAAGTACCGATTAACAAACTCTTTTCCTTGATCAGTTTGTAGTTTTTCAGGTTTTCTTTCGATTTTTCGTAATGCATTGATAACCGATAAGGCTGATTTATCTTTTAAAGGAATACTCCACGCATATCGACTAAGACAATCAATAACATTTAATAGGTATTTAATATTATTGTTTGATTTGGCTAACCAAGTCATATCCATAATATCTGCTTGCCATTGCTCATCTATTCTATCAACTAGAATAGGTAATCTTGGGAAATTTTTTATTGATCTTCTGAATAGATTGTATGTATCTTGATCTCTAATCCAAGCATCAACTTCTTTGAACTTGATTTTTGGATTGACTTCTTTCGCTACTTGGTACAATTTTTTAACTCCACCGAATGAACCGGGTGATTTAGGATCGAAATATATTTTGCTTAATTCCATCTCTTCTTTGTCGTTATCATGTCAATTGCACGCGGATTTCTAATATGCTTTACTAAATGAGGAAACTCTCGTCTTATTCTACGAATAACAAGGGGGCCTCCGTTAGGTAGTGGAACGGTAGCATCCTTAGTTAAATGATCTACAATCTTGCTCAATCTACTACCATATACCTTATCACCACCAGACCTTAAAACTTCACCTTTCTTATTGAAAAGTCCAGGGATATTTCGCAAAGCCATTTCTAATTTCGCTGGAGTTTGACGTACAGGCGTCGCAGGTATTAGACTTCGTGCCCATGCCGGTTTTGGAGCAGGTGCAGGTGTTGCCCATGGCGGATTTGGTGGAGGCGTTTCATAAACGCTTTCACGAGGGAAATCTTCCTCTTCATAATCTTTAGGTTCATCTTTGTATTGAAATGAAGTAGCTGGTTGGTTTGGGAAATTATCTTTTGTTCTTGAAACAAAATCATTGAGTAATTTGATTTGTGTATCAAGGGGAATATTTGTATTTAACAGTCGATTAGTTACGGTTGGTTTCTCGCAATTACGTCTGAAGTAATCTTCAGATACCATAAACATACGTGTCACTGAATTCATCTTGCAGCTAAATTTGCGAGTAAAGTGATTGCTGGAACAAGTAATCCGGGTAGAAATCCACCTTGTTGATTAATAATTTTCTTTTTAGTGGTAGGATTAGATTTTCTTGCTAGTGCACGTATATGCTTCTTATACGGTTTTAGTTTATTTTTACGTTGTTCTGATAAATCAAAAGTACCTTTCAAGGTTTCTCTTGCAATTTCAGCAATGACACTGTAAATGCACTTGTTGGCGTGATCAAGAATGAGTTTTCTTTGCTTATTAGTTTTCGCTTTTGCTAGCGCTTTCAGGCTAGGTAAGCATTTGATTGCTGTCTTTACTGTCATTTTGACTGACATGAAAACATTCAATTCTTATACTAAGTATGTTGTAATGTAGTCCTTCTCGCCTAAAACATTAGATAGAAATCTAACTTCCATTGGGGTCTCAGGTTTTAAGTCGACGAATAAATATGAATATGGTGCTGCTGTAGCATCTTCATAGATGGCTTGTAATTTACTGACTTTACCGGGTAACATTTGTCTACCGATACTTGTGATAATTGATTGATCCCTTGGATTTTTAAATAATACAATATATTGAGAATTCAAAGAAATGTTTCTGCTTTCTTTGCCTCTTGTAAAGAAATTTTGAACGATGAGAATAACTGAAAGATTACGATGATGTGAACCTTTTGTGAATAGTTCACTGATTATTTTAGAGTTTGTTGACTCTGACATAAGATCATCGATGATAATCCATTCAGGTACAGTTCCGTCAAATTTTTCAATTAAATTTTCTGGTAAACCTTTAATAAAGTTAACGTCTTTGATTGAACCGAAAATACTTTGGTATTCACCGTAGAAATAAGTTATTTTTTGTGGTGGAGGAGATGAAAATCTATTCGCGCCTGCAATTAGCTGCATAATCCATCTGGTTTTTCCCGAACCAGTTGGACCAGCAACTAACATTGTAAATGGATGGTGTAAATAAATAAAATAGGGCTTCATTTTTAATTTTCAAAAAATATTTATTGGTTTTCTTAAATAGAGTCTGGTACATCATGATTTAAATGGTCAATGAAAAATTTCATATCTTGTACAATTTTGTATGAGCATTTTAAAGAGGTATCGTCAGCATTATGATAAATACAAGGTTTCTGATTCCTATCAATAACTTTGTGTGTAGCTCCATATATTTCAACTATATTTTGATTATTAATATAAAGTTTATCCAAATATTCTTGGGCTTCCTTGGATTTACAAGCGATTATTGTCTTATCTCCGTCTTTGGATATCTCGTAGAACAATTTGATGATTAGTCCAAGATAATCCTCATTGATTGCACGTCTCGGAACAAAATCTAATCCGTGGAATTTATTAACCAGATGGTTTATTTGGTATTCATCTTTCTTTGATGGGCTGCAATTAGGATTGTCAACAATAAGATTTATTGATATGAAATCACTTAATAGAGAAACTTCTCTAGGATGGAATATTCCGTTTATTCGGAAACCTTGGGTATCGAAATATGCACAATAAGTATCCATGTTGACTCTTCAAAATTCGACTTGTTAATGATTGAGATTGTCATTTGTGGATCTATTTATACATAAATTGAATCAAGGATTCGAATACATCTGGATTCGACTCAGTGAATCGATTCAAAGATTCGATATCAACTTTACGACTAGTAAAGTCATCATGAGCTGCTAATCCTAATTGATAAACAATTGAATTATCAGGATCAATGTAAAGACATTGAGTAGCAGTCCATTGTTTTTTCAACATGTGATCTTTGCCCATGAAGAAAGAAAGAACGTAAATATCAATGAATTGATCGACTGCAATTTCTTGAGAAACCAAGTATAGGGCCAGTGGAATGTAAGGGGTTATTTTTTCCCAAAAGGAAAGTTGAGTGACAACTTTTTTACCATTTTTCATGATTTCAAAAGAAGTCTTTGAATATTTCCTTATTGAAATATCATAGTGATGAACCTCTAATGGTCCCTCTTTGAAACTCTTGTAATAACCATAAATGTATTTAAATTCAGACGGCGTGAGTGATACACCGAATGTTGATGGTAAATTGTGAATCATCGCACGAATATCAAGTCGTTTGACCGTTTCACCATAACAAACTTTGAAGCAAATTGCTTCGTCTAGGATTTTAAAACTTTTCCAATTAGACATGTTTACTTTGTGATTGTTGTAAATAGAATGAATGGAATTGATAATCCACGGCCCCTTATATACTCATCGGGAGGACACGTTTCGTAAACTCGACAAGGGCGCCATCTATCTGTGAAAGCTCTTTAGCTCCTGTTAATATGATTGACCCTGTTGAATAATATATCAAGGTCAATCCATTCAATCTAATATATACAGCAGGGTAAATTTCTGGCTCATAATTTGCATCTTTTGATGATTCAACAAATTCATGGATGTTGAATGCAAATGGATAAAAGCTATGAGCTGTAATGTTAACTGTTTTAATAAAGTTAACATTGTTTGCAGGATAGAGTTCTTGAAGAATCGAACCGGCTGAAGTCACTTCTTTAAATCCAGTAGCAATTACTTTTCCTGATCCAAAAACGAGAAATACTCCTTTTTTCCTTATGATTTGAGCATTGAATCTCTTTCTTCTATTAGTATTATCAATCTCTAATTTGATTGCTCCATCTATCTTCCATAGACTTACAATATTAGCTATTTGATAATTAAGCGAGCTTAATGACATGTTCACTTGTAGGTTGGTAGAAAGTACGTAAAAAAAGAACAATAATGATTATCAAGACTAGCAAAATCTTGATTATATTCTTATAAGTCTCAGGGTCCATCTTTAACAATATTAAGATTGACTCAATCTTATATACCCTATGTTGGTCTTGTCCTTGGTCCAGAGTGCACAAGTCGGTCCAGAGTGGACAAGTAAGTCCAAAGTGCACAAGTCAGTCCAGAGTGGACAAGTTGGTCCAGAGTGGACAAGTCTGTCCAGAGTGGACAAGTAAGTCCAAAGTGGACAAGTTGGTCCAAAGTGGACAAGTTGGTCCAGAGTGGACAAGTCTGTCCAGAGTGGACAAGTCGGTCCAGAAAAGGACATTTATTAACTACTTACGGATCAAAAAAGCAGTTAAAATCCAAACATATCATTCAATTCAATTAATCAAGTTCAATATAAAAGACAAATCAACTTGCTAAACCAATTTAATGATTGTAAAACCATTTTACTCCATTCTTTGGTCAACTTATTGACTTGTGACTTTCTCATCTTCTTAACTTCTGTCTATTGTTTCAATTATTGAACTAATTGTATGAAATAGCTAATTGTTTGATTGAACTATTTGATTGGTATTTTTGAAGTTTCAACTTAAAGGAAGAATTTCAATCAACAAATTGTTCTGTTTCAATAATAACCAGAAAATGTTACTTTTTCATTTCAAACCATTAATTTGTTCAATATCTTGTCATTGAAGAGTAAACTGTTTTATAATTTGTTGCTTATTTACGATCAAATCTAAACTCGATTCATTACTTGATTTGATTTCTACGTTTATTGGTGTTTATTGCAAATTAATTATACTTACAGTTGAGAAGCTAATTTGTGCCATTATCCAAATCGTTGTTGTTCCATTAAGTATCACTAAAAGCAGAATCACAATTAAAACAATGTAAACAGTTAACCGTTTCCAGTTATGAGACTTTGTTAATGTTGCCGTTGAAAAATGAACCAAATCATTGAAAGGTTGATTCTCATTTAATCCGGTTACACTTTGTTGATTAACCTGATTAGATGAGTCTGGAGTGTAAATTAAACAAGATGATCCTTGATTAGCTGCTGTTAATCCAGTCTGTCTATGGATTGCATCAAGATGAGAGGATTGAGAAGGATGATGGTATGAGGTTATAATTTGTTCAGTTGATTGATTAAAGTGTGAACCAGTTAAATGAGGTTCCTCTGAACATATTGGATTATCTTTGATTGTTACTCGAGGAAGTGTATTTCGTAAAGGTGATGTTGAACAATTGGTGTTAACATTGGTAAACATAAGGAAGTTGATTGAAAAGTATTCAGGGAAAAGAAAGCAAAGAAACAATTAAAGTGATTGTCAAAAAATTGAATTTTGAGGTGAAGAGGAATTAATGATCAACAATTGACGTGATAATGATCAAGGTTTGATCGCGAATATCGAGAATAGCAAAAATAAAGTTTCTATTATTGCACGTAATTCAATTGAACCATTAAAATTATCATTATGTTGCTGCTTTTTTCTTGTGTCTCTTTGGGTCTATCAGTGGGTCGCTCATCGAGTTAAGGATTACCTATGAAAATGATGAAAATTGTGACCATTTTCAGGGAGAAGAAGAAGAAACGATGATGATAATGTTGATGTTGACGGTGATGAGGATGATGAAGGTGAAGATACAAATGATGATAAAAGATGAGAGAGCCTGAAGAAAGATCACAAAATGGTCTAAACAAACTAAAATCAATGGAGTTACACAAGGAAGGATAAGATGAAGAAAAGTGGGAGACTCGAGATGAAAATGAAGATGAAAATGGTGATGAAGATGATGAAGATGAAGAGTATGATGATGATGAAGGAGGAGGAGTAAAGAGTAAACTCACTTTTCTCTCATTTTCCTCTTCACGTTACAATTGTTGTCTTTTTGTTGCCATTTTTTGCCTTCAAATTTCATTTTTTAGTCTTTAATCATATAATGAAACAATTTTTACCAAATTCTCTTCACTCTTTTCTTCATGAAATAATATCATCATTTATGCGTTTTTGTGACCCAATCAAACAATTTAACGTAAATTTTCAATTACTAACCAATCAAGTTGAATTTAGATTGGATCCAATCAATTGGAAATGAAGAGAAGGTTAAGAAAAGAAGAAAAAAGGAAAATGTTTCAATGTCAATTTTACATGATTGCTATATTCATAATGATATAAATTATTAGATGTTAATATTGGACGATTAAGATGTGTTCCCTATTTCGAACCTATAGATTCAATGAAAGACGTGATTCTTCACCCTGATCATCCTCATGTTGATCATCTTTGTGATGCTTCGATTGATGTTACCTTGTCCAAAATGATGAGCACAAAGATGATCAACATGATGAGGAGGATTCTTGTCATCAAACTTAATAAACCATCGCACAGCAAACACACGGATCAATATCTTGCTACACTTTTTTGCCCTCATCTTCATCATGCATCTTCCATGTTCATCCTTTATCTTAGATATATTTTTTTCAATACATTTCATTGTACTAATATCAATCCTCAGTTAAACTCCCAGTCTTGACACCTTCAGTTAACCCTTGGAGTTGTTGCTCCTCAACATCAACTACATCTGTGTAACCTTGTCATTGAATGTTATGTTTTTTCATCCAACAATTGAAACAGAAATACAAAAAATAGGAACAATCTATTTATTTCAATAGCTTGTAATTGTTAACTGTTATTAACAATTAATTGATTAACTGTTGACAATAGAGAGACAACAAGTCAAGCTAATAAGATGAGTGGCTAAAAATTAAAGTACATTAATCAATACCAGAAAAAATGGTTTTGTTTCTCAAAAATAATGAAAATTTTAGGTTTCATATTTGGTTAATTTTCAGCCAACCATTTTAACCATTTGAGTGATAATTAGATTGTATTGTAATGAAACGAAACCATGGCAATGTAATTACATTGTAACAGACAATTAGGGTTAAATGATGAAACTTGTGTAACATGGTAAGGTTAGTCTGTCAAGTTGATTGTGATTAAGATGGGGACATGGATAATAGCAATTTCATCTTCTTCTTTTAACTTATTCTTTGTTTTTTTTCCAAAATTTATCCTCTTTTTTGTTTCTTCTTCATCATTCTGTATCTTGTCACAGTTAAGATGAAGATTACCTGTCTTGTTGTGAATTTGTCGCTTCAATAGTAACCAAAATGTTTATCCTCATTCTCATTTTAATGTTACATCTTTTTACCTCTTTTTTCACTTCATCAATTACAGCGACAACAATATTTATGCATAAACAATCCTTTTCTTGATGTTTCATCTTCATCCAATAATCAGTGAACCTTAATCACCGGGAATAACCATCAATAAAATATCCTATTTTCATCCTCTTTATCCCATTCACCTCAAACCAATGTATAATAAAAACATGGGAACGTCAAAATATATGTAAATGATTTTATTTTGTATAAATGTTGCTTTAATTTTGATCGGTAAATAAAGTTGAATTAACCGCGCTTTAGATTTGCCGGTTAAACTGGGAGAATAGCCAATGATGTAAACATTGGTTTACCTTTTTTTGTAACTTAATTGTTAATTTGCATTTTAATAGTTTTTTTTGTTATTATTTCATCTATTTTTATTTTCTTTTTGGGTGACAATGATGGACATTAGTTTTGGCAAGATACAAAAGAGTGAATTTTTCATCACAGTTACCATTATCAGAAGATTTAGGGTAAGACAAACTGAGAATACTGAAAAAAGTCTAAATCCAATTTTTTTTGCAGTTGCTTTGCCTTGTTATTATCAACTTTATTCTTATGTGCTTGGTGTTTAAGAGTTGCTTACTTTCATCAATATTATTATCGTCTTCATCATCATCTTCATCACCTTATTTCATCTTCAAAATATCCTCTTACACCGGATTTAACAGGATTTAGAGAAAGTATTATCAGATAAATTTTAACTTAACTGGTTTCCTCTCCTTTCTTTCCAAAAAGTATAATAGGAAACATAAAATGGACCTTAAATTGTCTACTTTTCTTGCATCATTTTCAACTGTTTATCAACTTTTAATCCAATTAATAATCAAATTGAGCTTGTAATATACTTTACAACTTAATGTTTTATTGTGTGATTGAACTAAAACAAGATTTCAATTCTTCTTTCAGATTCTGTACTCTTTAACCGGTGGTTATTGCATTTGTTTTCATCAGCCTCACTCGACTATATCAATATTTATTGGTTTGTGTAATTACAACTTTTGTTACATCTCTAATGAGCATTAATCTGGCATGATTTATTAATCATTGGTGAACATTGAATATCTCGATACCATAGACAGTCTTATCAAGAAATGATCACAATTGATTGAAGGACTTGGAAATGAAATAATGAAAGGTTAAGGAAAACTAATCTATTTTTTACCCTCAAATGTAAAGTCGCAATTGTATTGTACTTTGAAAGCAAAATGAAATTAATCATTTTCATTGAAATGCAATCTTAGAATCTTTGATTGTTACAATTTACTGGAGCAAAAAGTTTAATAAGAAATGGATTAACAATGAATGTTATTAAACAATTGTTTGGTAATAATTAGAAATGTAAATGAAAAAAAAGGTTTGCTAATAATATTAACAAATTATCACTGCGACTTTAACCAGTGAAGATAATTGATTCGCAAGTTGAAATAATTGACTATTGATTGTTCGATCAAGTTAATTTGCAATGTTATCGATTTAAAATGGGAAGGAAAAGTCAAAGAGTTAAACATTGAAGGTAAGAACACAAAGTTGCCCATTGAAAGCCATTTACCAGTTTATTTCATTGGTAATATTTATTTATAATAAATACATTTATATGAATACATTTATTTTACTGAATAATGGTGTAATGATAACAATAATGATAATAATGAAAAAAAAAGAAACTCAAATAGTATCAATTTTGAATATAGCTTCTCATTTGGTGATAGTTTTGATGAATATACTCGCTTTTTTATTCACATAATAAACACTCTTCTTGACATGGTAAAGTTATTTTATTTCATTTTTGATTCTTGTGATATTATTGATATGATTATTTAACATAATCATGGTAATAAATGATTGGTTAAAGTTGCAGGATTATTTGAGATCTCGAGATATTATTTAAATTGAGTTGTACTTATTTATTTTCATGATATACATTCATCTCTTCCCTCCCAATAATATTGTATTATATGCATAAATGATCAGTTTAAGTAAACGGGTGAAAATGGTAAAGTGTAAAATGAATGAGAGAGTGACTATGAAATTGATCGGAAATATATACATTTAAATGGGTGAGAATTAATATTTAAGTTGAAAAAAAGGAGTGAGTTTACAATATTACAGGGAATTGGTTAGCTTTTGTTTTGAAAAAAATATCATTTATCATTTCTTAAGGTTGGCAATTGATGTGTAATTTTACATAAGTGGTAAAGTTAAAGGTGAAGAGTGAAAATGATCACTTAAGCCACAAGTTTTTAAATTTAAAGGCTTCAATTTCATCCTCTAAATCATATTGTCATCTTTGGGTGATTACAGGTAATCAATTATTGAATCTCTTTTTGTTTTGTTGAGCAGTTGATGTTAGTTTTATATCTATTAATTGATCGGTGAGAGTCAATAAGAGAGTGAAGTGGATGAGAAAAGGTTAACAATGAAAGGAACTTGTGATGATATAGAGGAAAGGCTTGAAAGATGATTAAGATGAAATAATAAGCAAGACTTGGTAGAAGTAAGAAGATGAACAATTATTTGATTGTCCTGAGAAGAGGATAATTCAAAGCGTAGGTAAGATGATGATATTGTTGTGTGTTTTTTTGTTGTTGTTGTCTGTTGAGTTGACGATGGCGATGATTTGAGGGCAAACAAGATGATGATTTAGTCAAAGAGGATGAGAATGAAATAGATGGAGAAACAAATGAAATGAGAAGATGAGAAAAGATGAAGATTAAAGAAAATGAGGAATAAAAGGTAAAGGTGAAGAAGGTGGATGAAAGATGAGGATAGAGGGAAAGGGTGAGGGACGCGTTGAACCGTTTCTCAGAGATCTTTGGAGATGCAATTAATGAAATGAGAAAAACACAGTTGACTGATTTCTGGTTGATGTATCAACTGCATCAACAAAGTCACTGGTAATTGTAACGAGGGAAGGAACAGAGAAAAAGCATCAGTAATAGGGATAAGCATCCTCATCGTTTCTTTGCCTTGCTTTATGGAATCACAACTTGCAATCTCATCCTTTATCATTGCCTGGGCCTACGTCTTTGCCATTTTCATCTTTTCATCTAACAATTATCATCATTCAATTCTGTCTTTTTTGTTCTCCTTTTCTTGAGCAGCAGCAAAAATGAAAAAAAGTCAACAACATTTCCAACAGCATTAGGGATGCCTATAAATAAATGAAGATGATAAGTTATATCATTAGTTTATCATGATAATCATTGATAATTTCACTGTTATTAAGATTACCTGGGCCTGGGTTATTATATTTCCTTGTTTTCATACTATTTTTCAAACGTATAATTATCCAGTAGTTGAAAGTTGGTTCAAAAAGTGCGACTTCATGTGTTGCTTTATTGCCATTTTTAATAACAAGTAATTATCTTCAGATGGATCCATCTTGGAGGCTTGCATCGGCAGTTTGAATTGATTTTAGCCATTGGAAGTAGTCATCAACAGTAAATCTGTAAATGAAAATAAAACTAATTAGTTTTAATTTGTATAGTCAACCTTGTTTTTTAGTCTTTGATATTATCTGTTTGATTCACGCATTGGTAATAATATGGTTGAAAACAGTATTGTCACCATCAGATTGGAAACAATGTGGCATTGACAAAAGGTTAGTTTGGGGTTTATGAAATACGATTCAAAGATGAACAATTAAAGTTATTCTTGCCATAGAAGATGTTAATTATATTAATAGTTTTGCTTTTCGGGTGAAAAACAATGAAATGAAAGAGAGTCTATGTAAAGGGATAATCAAACCTTGAGATAATACAGGAGTTACAATGTAAATGCTGATTCTTTGGCTAATGAAGTCTTTTGTAGTTGCCAAACCACTAAAGGTTATCAAAGTTAATATGTTGATTCAGTTCATTGTGGCTAACAATATTTTAATTTCATCTCAAAATCTGTGAAAAAAAGGAAAAGTGAAGAAACAAATTAAATTAACATGGTTAACTGTTTTCATGTTTACTCTTCTTTTGTTCATAATTAACTGAGCATAAAAAATTCAATTAATATTATAATCTATTGTACCTCGTTTTCATCGCCTTTTTAAAAACAATTAATTCTTAGCTAACTTTTACCGCCACATTTCAATCATTTAATGATGGGAGAAAAGCTGGGAACAAGATTTTTTTTCAAATTTTATCAATGTCCACCATTGTGTCTCACTTTGACCATCCACTGTATTTAGCTGAAAGTTTGTGGTTTTGGTTGAAATGAATGAAGGTTGACATTGGTAATAAATTGTTAACTCCTTTTTACTCTGACCATCCATTCAGTTCATCAATAGTGGAAAGTAATTCACAACAGCATTGCTCCTTTAGGCTATTCGTGGTCTATTGTAACTTTGGTAGTTGCTTGGTTGACTGTAACACCAAAAAAGGAGTAAAATTTGATAAAAGCAAAAGTGCAAACCGAAGATGAGAAAGAAATAAATTGTCACTCAAATAGCATGAGGCATAGATGAACAGGGTTACTGATAAGTGGATCATAATGGCTCGAGAATGAGTTCTATGATGACTCCCATGTGCAAAAAGCATCATCATCATCATCTGGTATAACAACAGGCAAAAGTAACAACAGCAGTAACATCATTACCATGACAATATCATTCTCCCAAGTGGTAACAGTCCGTATTCCTCTTCTACGACTTGTTTCTCTTCATCAGCTCCATCATCTTACAGCATTCATCTCCTTTTTCATTGCCATTTCTTGTTCACCTTTAATCGTCCCTTAGTTTCCTTTAGCCTGAGAAAAAAAAAATAAACCAAAAGCTTGTAAATTTACACCAATATAAAGTGGTTATACCATAATAGTTTACCTTTTTTGTGATGATTTAGTCATAGACATAGACATTGACACAGTTTTGCAAATAAAAAACAGAATCCAACAAAGTTTAGTTTGATTGAAACTTGGGCCAATTCATTTGGAATAACCATTCATCTTTGACTAACTAATATAAAGAAAAATAAAATAAATTGGAATTAGAAAATTTTGTTAGGAAATATTGAATTCGTACAAGAAATATTAAAGCATGATGTTACTCTAAACATATGATTATGGGAATTACTCAGAGATTCTCGTGATTTAATGTTATTGTTTGATTTTCTGACAATTAACTTGTAAAAATTTTGTCAGTTGGTTTAACTAGTTAACTGAGTTTAGTTATATCTTTCACATCTAATTGGATTTAAAAATAAATTGGCAACAACTAAAAATTAGAAAAAACTAAAGGCGATGAAAAAAGAGAGTTGAGCCAAAAATGGTGGGATTCGTAAATGCGACTGCATAAGTTCTTGCAGGGCTTTGTTTGTTGACACTGAATAGACACAGTTACTTTGTTCCCGTCAGAGAAATGATAACCTGTTCGTGTTGATCAGCCATCTCAATCTGTGCTAGCTTCATCCTCTAAACAATCATGTCAACATAAAAATTACCAGCCATAGTTAAACTTACAATTTGTCCACTTTTTTGTTTACTGGAGCTACATCGGTTGATTATCTGGTTAAATAAAACAGTTTTTCACAATGTCTACTAGTTTTATGATTGGTAAATCTGTCTCTTATCCAGTAATCAAAGGTGATACCTTCCCAAGGCGTAGTCAGAGGAGTAAACGTTCAGATGGTGAACCAGTGCATTTAAAAGACGCAAGACGAAGCAGCGGTCGATCAAATAGTAATCGTAATCTTTCTGGTTATCCCATAAGTCAACAACAGCTTAACAAAAGATCAAGTGAAACTGACAACCGGGAACAATCATCACCGCCATCATCAACACGATTGATAACCATAGGAATTTACGGTTGGAGAAGAAGATTTCTTTATGGTTTAATCATCATTATATCCTTGTTTGTTGTCATAAATGCTGCTTTAACCATTTGGATAGTTCGTTTGCTCAATTTTCAATTGGTAAGGATCAACTGAATCTTCATTTTATTTTTTGATCCGTAAAATTTGACCACCTGAAGAAATTAGCTTTCATATGAAACACTTGAATCTACCAACAAATTGAACAGATTAATAAACCATTCGTACATTTTATAAACAATCTTATAATCACATGTAAAGCTTACCTCAAGAAAATAGTTTGTTTCATTTTCAATAGGATATTTTAAACTATTTTAATTGTTGAATAATCAATAGACTTGAAGTTTAAACACAAAAAATAATACAGTTTACAAAGTGTTTAACCCATTGGAGTTTAATTATAAACAAAACGCCTTGAAATGAGCCGTTACTGGTTAAAGATACGATCGAGTCTTGAATATCTTTTAACACTTGATCCTTTGGTTTAGATCATTTGATCCTCGTTAACTCTTTTTTGTTTACATTTTTTAAAGCAATAATTATTTAAGCCTGTTGATCATTTAACCAACAAACAATTAGGAGTATCTTGTCCATCGTTTTACCATTAATAATCCAGTTCAATATTTTTTACCAACAAATCATTAGTTTCGATTGCTCCTTTTTCACTTGTTTACCAATGGATTGATTTTAAATATGAAAACTATTAGGCCAAATATTAGGCCAAATGATAATCCATTTGCATTACTTATATGCGTGCTATTAAAGTGAGCTCCATGGAATGATGATGTTTTTGGAAGAGGACAAGGAATCTTGCAATGAAAATCAGAACAGAATAAGATCCGTGAAAATAATGATGGACTATCAAATTAGTTTCTTGCTTCATTCCTGAGGAATATTTCTTGAAGCTTCAGATAGATTAATGGCTTAAGCTGGACCCATCTCAACTATTACATATCAAAGTTATAATATAAATGGGAATCTACCTTTCTGTAAATGTTATGTACATAATACATAAGTAACTCAATGTTTACTGGAAATGAAAAGAGATTATCACTGACCCCTTATACGATGGATGATTGGTCTTACTATAGATGATGATGATACTTTTCACCTTATGCTAGTCTGCTCGTCTCATCATATTACCAGACAAATTGTGGCTCATATTAACGCCATTTAATTTCCTCTCCATCTTCACCACTCAATCTCTTTTTTTCCAGTTCTTATCATCATCATCTTCCATTCACATTTTCCTTAGCTAAATCATTTTCTTCAACATCTTCATCCAGTTTTCAATTTTTTTCCTCCCTCTCAAGATCTACACCACTTTCGTTAAAAAGATATCTCATTATTTTTCATCTCGTCTCCTGTCTTTTCACCCTCTTTAACCTTTCAATCAATTTTCGTGTCAATCAGCCTCATTATTTATCATTTACTATCAGCTATCTAAATCACCAATTGATTACTCTATCCATTAATCAAATTGCAACAGGTTAGCCAAACAAACAGTTGCTTTCAAAGTTAAATAACAATAAAACGCCATTTGTCTATTCATATCTAAATTGTTTCATTCTAGATCAATACTGGTCTTTTATTATTGATTGTAGATGATCAATGATTGAAGTCAAATTCAACTAAAGTTAACAGAATCAGTCAATTTTGCTCGACCGAATGAAAGATTAACGTAAAAGTGATAAAATATAAAACATCACTTCTATTGTTGAAGTCAAAAGCAGACAGATTTGAATTTAAGATGAAACAAGATGAAAACTTGGATGATTCTGATGATATTTTTTCATTCCCTGCTTAACCATTGATAAAAATGATTGAGTGAAAGATAATAGGATTTCAATTCTAATATTTTAAGAGACAATCTCTTCCGTATTTCATATTTTTCCCTCTTTCTTTCATATTCCAGTTCAAGCTTTTATCCATTTCTTAACATCTAAAACATGAGCTTATTTTACCTTAAGTATTGCTAATGAAATGGATGACGATAAAAGAAATCAGGAAAAAATGAGAAAACTTAAGCTCAATATAACAATAATGTAGATGGAATGCTTACATAATTTTTGTTCATAAATTTTGGTGATTCTTTCAATTTGGATTTATTCTTGTGTCCAAAAACAGGACCAATTTAAGTTGATAATCTTGAAAGTTTTTGCTCTGTCACTAAATTGCTTTAAATGCAAACAAATCTCTGCCAATAGTTTCAACATTTTATTCAGATTAAAATACATTTGGAACCATTTTCGGCTTATTTTGGCAATTTTTATAATTTGCAATTGTACTTTGAATTTGTTATGTTTGATATTATTTTATCTCTTAGATTGTTGAGCAAAAAACGATTAACATTAGTTTTGAAGTGAATGTTGAATTTTTTCAAATTGTGCGCTTAACTTGATGTTTATGCAATGGATAAAACTAACCAATCACGTTAATTTATCTTTCGTTACTTGACAGTTTCATCATGTTACATTAATCATTTAATCTCGTTGATTTTATCAGGATCGGATTGGTAAAATAATATTAACTGATGATGGTATCATTATTGATGGTAAAGCTTTTGCTCGAGACACTCTAACAGCGCGATACATTAAATCAGTAAAGGTAAGAATCAATTTATTTACACAATACTGTGAGATTTATTGCTGTAAATCTATAGTTAACTTTAAATGCAACCATAAAAGTACAAAATATCTTAACATCTTCTCCCTCTTACTCTCTCACACTCTCTAGGATTCAAGTTTAAGAATAATTGCTCCAGAGAATCTTGATCTTGAATCTACTGGCGATAAATCAACTGATGGTAACTTGGTAAATCTTTTGTCATTAAAAAATGGATCGATTAACGCTTGGGTTAACGGAATGACCATCAAAACTCGAGATAACAAACCTTTAATCACTGTAAATGATTCTGCCCTGACACTCTACTCAACCAAATTAAGGATAAATAGTGAGTAAACAAAGTGCCAATTTCATAGCGATAATGATTATTGAAGTGAAAAACTTTCATTAAACAGAAGCTCAACTTCCAAAGGCCTAATCATTGTTTTGTTGCTTTTATTTTTATCGCATTTTAATGATTGGTTGTGAGTTTGATAAGATATCGTTTTGTTTGGTCATCCAAAGTTGGTGTATAATGGTGAAATTTGATGACCAGCGAAAAGTGTGAAATCGTGAAAAATAATTTATCGTTATTATTTTGTCTTCCACAGGTGATTATGGGATCCAGTTTAATAATTCCATTCAAAGTCCATTGATTTTAAGCGATCCTTTCCATGATCTTGAGTTACAATCCAAGACTAGAGCTGTTCAAATTTCTGCTGCCACTGAGGTTAATCTAAACTCAGGAAAGAGTATGAACCTCATCAGCCGTAAAGATACTCGCTTCATGTCCAAATCAGGAAAGGTTTGTGTAATTAGAGTTGATTGTTTCTTTGCATCCTTGATACTCATGATATTTTTTCCCACCATCAATAGATAATTTTGGACTCCGATAAAATTGAGTTAAAAAACTTGAGACTGGGTATACCTCTGAAAAGTATGGAATCTGATCCAGGAGTTTATCAAGTCTGCGTTTGCAATAATGGAAGATTATTTATGGCTTTGCCAAGAGAATCCTGTACTTTTGACGTAAATGTCTGTGAATATTTGATTGAGCCTAAATCAATTGCTACACCACCGGATTGAGTTAGAGTTAACAAGGAACTAGATCCAAATATTATAAATGGATTTGTTTCTTATGGAAAACAAGTAATTTCCCAAATCGTGCTTTATGGTCAAGATATTACAGAGGATTCTGCCACCTATCTGTCTCATTTCAAATTTTTGCCTTTCGTCACATTCCTTTCTTGGCCTATGGAGTTATACTCGTTTCACCACAAAGTCATTATCTGATATTGGAAAGCTATTTTTTTGCCATTCTCAAAGTTTTTCTGAAATCATGTAATCTGGGTTTCGTAATAAAGAGTACCATGACGCTGCATATCATGACACCTGTTACCTATCACCATTTGAATATTTTTTTCAGACTTTAAGTTTCAACAGGTTGCTCTTCGCTGGTCACATGATAGATGGAAATGAGCGGCCTCCTAATATTCATCGAAATCATTTTAATAAAGCTAATCTAATTTGATTTCATCTATCAATTTAAGCCATCAAGACCAACTAGAATCAAGGAGGCTTGATGGAGAGAAGTTGTGCAAATGATGAGACGCATTATATTAATATTGTTTGCACTGTTAACTTTAAAAAGCCGAAGAATCAATACGGTTAATATTTCTCTTCATTGGCTTTATCATCTTATTGCATTCATATCCTTTCCATATCCATTCCTTGTTCAACTTTAATCGTCTCTTAGTTTCCTTTAGCCTGAAAAGAATAAACCAAAAACTTGTAAATTTACACCAATAAAAGTGGTTAAACTAGTTTACCTTTTTTGAGAAGCATAGTCATAGACAAAGTCATAGATACAGTTAGTTTAGAAGCATTGAGCATTTTCAAGTTATAGCAAAAGATTAACAATCTTTGATGGTGCAACTCTTTCTTGATGTTAAAACACCACCGTAAATTAAATTAGTGTAATATGAAGCAAAGTTTAGTTGCATTAAACTTGGACCAATTCGCTTTGAATAATTATTCACCTGTGTGCAATTAATATGAAAAGAAAAAAGAAAAAAGATTGTAATTAGAAATTAATGTGCAAAAACATTTGTATCGTTGAAATATAATGCATTATAATACTCTAAACATATGATTGTTGAAATTGCTATAAGATTATAGAGATATAGTGCGATTTTTGACATTTACTTGGCTGGAACTTCGTTAAAGTTGCAAAATTTTGAAATTTTACATTGATTTTACTTTCCTAAGTTGCAAACTGGGTTCAACTACATATAATTGGATTAAGGGACCGGCAAAAGCTAGAAGATAAATGATGACAAGAGAGCAGAGAGAGTTGAAAAGAATGTTGCGGTTCAACTTGTATAGAACTGGATTAGATCTGCTAAGCAATGATGACACTGGAGAAGCACGGTGACTTAGTCCAAAAGAAACAGCAATAACCAGATATGCTTAACTACGTCAAATGCACTACCAGAGACTCTGGTATCGTATTGTCAATATCTTTATGATTCTCAATTCAGTGAAATTGCTCAGGCCTTGGAAAATTACATCTTTACACTATCAAAAGTTTAAGCCTTTATTTAACTTTGAAATTTCAGTCTTTTCAAATAATTTCCGAAAAGATATTATAGAATTTGATTTAGTAAGGTTTAAATATATTTTAGTGAGTATAACTTGAGAAAAGCCTACTTCATCCATAAGCATAACTAACATTGATTCAACTTTTCAAACCATGGGCAGACAAGAAAGAGGCACATTTCAATAGATAAGAATTGCTTCTGATACAACTTCCCTAGATAAAAAAAAACAGTTGAACACTCGAAAATTTTTAAGAAAAATTAATTTCGACTACAAATTGTTTAACATCTATATTTATCTTACAACTTTATTTAAGGTATCGCTTTTTGGTTTGGACTTATCATCCCATTGGAAACGAATTGAACAATTTAAAGGTTGGTATAATCATGACCAGGCAGTTATTAAAATATGGTGATTTAAGATGATGAGGTCAAGCTGGGTCCTCAAATTTGGTTAAATAGCTTTATGATGTTTGTACGGGCAATCAGAAAGCTAAATAACCAAAGATGAGGAAATCAGCAACGAGATAATAATTATATATAAATATATAAAAACAGTTAAAGAACGAACAATTGGTTGAATGGTTAAAACAAAAGAAATAATGGTTTTGATAAAAAAAAGCTATAGACTAATTGATAGGAAAAACGTTTAGAAATGAACAGGTAGAAAGATGATTGTGAGATGATGTGGTCGTTGATGACGATGAACATGATGAAGACAGAGGATGATGATGATATAGCAATACCAATTCTCGTTTTTGCAAAAGTAACTAGATGGGAGAGAGAGAGAGAAAGTCATTGATAGGAAGGTAAAGAGTGAGAAAGAGAGAGCAAACTGAAGTTAGGCAAATATGTAACCAGAAAAAAATATTGAAAAGTATCTGTGGACGGGAGTCCGATGCAAAGCAACAGCATTATCAGATTGATTTCATCCAATAGAAAAATACCAATGAGGTCACGTGGTAACCGTACTTTATCATTTCTGTCTCTCTTTCTGTCTCTCTTTCTATCCCTGTGTCTCACCTCACTCTCTCAACGCTTAAACCGGTGTATAAGCCAACAGAGGGCTCTAAAACAAGAGTCGCTTGGTTATGGCAAGTTTCAAAGCACTTGGTTATTGCTCTTTCTTTTTCAAATATGGGGAAAAGACTTCAAAAATGAGCGTTTTTCCTTTATCAGTTCTTGGTATCTCTCTTTCTTTTTCTCTTTCTAAAACTGGAGAAACCGGTTTATCCGCATAATCCTAAAGGTTGGCCTAAGGGGATAGAACGGATGGAAAGAACAGATAGAAAGAGAGGTAAAGAAGTAAAAAAAGAGGAGAGTGAGCGAGCAAGTTCGTATCGGAGTTCAGTCCATAGATACTTCAATATATTCTGGTTACATATTTGCCTAGCTTTATCTCTTTCTTCCTATCACTTACTCTCTCTTTCTCATTCTTACTCTCTCGCTTTTCACTCTCCCATCTAGGTTCCATTGCAAAATAAAATCAAACGAATTGCTATATCATCATCTTCATCATCATCATCATCCTCATCATCCTCTGTCTTCATCATGTTCATCGTCATCAACGACCACATCATCTCACAATCATCTTTCTACCTGTTCATTTCTAAACGTTTTTCCTATCAATTAGTCTATAGCTTTTTTTATCAAAACCATTATTTCTTTTGTTTTAACCATTCAACCAATTGTTCGTTCTTTAACTGTTTTTATATATTTATATATAATTATTATCTCGTTGCTGATTTCCTCATCTTTGGTTATTTAGCTTTCTGATTGCCCGTACAAACATCATAAAGCTATTTAACCAAATTTGAGGACCCAGCTTGACCTCATCATCTTAAATCACCATATTTTAATAACTGCCTGGTCATGATTATACCAACCTTTAAATTGTTCAATTCGTTTCCAATGGGATGATAAGTCCAAACCAAAAAGCGATACCTTAAATAAAGTTGTAAGATAAATATAGATGTTAAACAATTTGTAGTCGAAATTAATTTTTCTTAAAAATTTTCGAGTGTTCAACTGTTTTTTTTTATCTAGGGAAGTTGTATCAGAAGCAATTCTTATCTATTGAAATGTGCCTCTTTCTTGTCTGCCCATGGTTTGAAAAGTTGAATCAATGTTAGTTACGCTTATGGATGAAGTAGGCTTTTCTCAAGTTATACTGACTAAAATATATTCAAACCTAGCTAAATCAATTCTTTAATATCTTTTCGAAAATGATTATAAAGATGAAAATTTTAAAGTTAAATAAAGGCTTAATTAACTTTAACTGGCTTTTGTGGTTTAACCATTTTTACTGAAGGCCTAAACGATTTCTATGCGTTGGAAATCCAAAGGTATTGGTAGCAAAATACCAGAATTGCTTGATAAGTTAAGCAACAGGTAGAAAGCATAATAATCTTAGAATGCATTTAGTCAGCACAAAGTTTGGCGCTTACTGAATTTTCTGCACAATCAACCTGGTCATTTCATGACTCAACTGTGTCACAGTGCATGGAAATCTCATGAAAGCAATCCTCTCTATTTCAAATAAACCGGTTGATCACTTTAGTGATAAAAACAGAGCCATCTTTTGATCAAGGTGGATATTTGTTCTAGAAGCGGGCTTTGAATTATACACCTGTGAATCACATTACAATTTCACACAAGTTTCCTAGTTATGTAGCATACTGGCTGTGTAATGTTGTCTGCTGCTTAGTAAAGGATGAGCCTGACTGAATAAGTCTCTTGAAGAAAACCTACTTCATTTGTAATTAATAAATTAACTTACTCAGAGCATAAGTCGAGCATAATCGGAGAATATTGTTGATTTACGAATCGAGTTCTCCCAATATCTTTGCGCATTGATTAGCCATGATTTTTCACATGTGCGTGAAGTACCTCGTTCATCATCATGGATTGTCGGGCGGGATAATAACTTGACCAAATTAGGTGTTGCGTCATTTTCGTCGATAATTTCTTTAACATTAAAACATTCGCTTCCTAGAAACGATCGCAATGATACAAGTAAATTTTGCTTCTCTTCGTCACTTTTTATCTCAGGTATTTGGAATATAAGCTCAGCTTGATTTGTATCATTTCCCACCATCATCATTGCCGTCGCTATTAATTTGATCAAATTAATATCAATAGTCCAATCGTTTACAATAATAACATAATCTGAGACAGCCAAAAGAAAGCATAACAATTGCAAAGATGTTATGAAAACATTTGTTTCGGGTTCAGACGAGTCTGGGATAGAATTTGAAACTCCAGAACCATTTTTAATATATTCGTCTAAACAAGAGGCACTCATTAATGGCTGAGTAAGAAAATAAAATAAAACATTAGTATGCAGATCTTTGAGATTTATTTTCAATACATACCTGAGAATCTAATAGAAGAAATCTCTCCTGTGTAACATGGAGATCAACACCGCGAGTAATATGTCTCAATAAATTATCCAAATTGTTAGGATCTTTATGAGTTTTGAAAACATTTGCTCTCGCAATTCGATTGAGCAATGACGATTTACCAACACTTTGCATTCCTACGGCACTGACTACAGTAAACCCACCAGAACCTGAAGATTGTGCGTCGCCAAAAAGAAAATCAGCGGCAGGATGTTCAAGAAATGACCAAGTATCAGTATCGATGATTTTCATGATGATTGGAGTACCATCTATCATATCGGTCATCGTTTCTTCAGCATTTTGGTTCAAACTGTTACCACCTTGGGAAAGTGTTGATACTGACTGATGTTGAGTCACTTGTTGGTGATTCTAGAGTTAATTCATGCACAAATGCGGATATACGAATGAAACTTAATCGAAAAGCTTGTAATGTATAAGGTATTGAAGCTTTTAACTACCTGGGAATGTATCAAATGGACCGGAGTTGATGGACCAGAGGTAAGAGGGGTTGATGTCACTAGATGGGGAAAAGCAAGAGAAAGAGAAAAACAAGAGGATAAGAGTGTAACCTAATTGAATTAAAAATTTAATGACTGTTTGCTGGCATGTTAGGCATTTCACTAACCAGTATTTGACTGCTGATTATGGAGACTTGAATTGCTTTTTGAAAAAGATGTCTCCGAATGTTTAAGAATAGTAACACGAGGTGATAAAGGCGGTGAAGCTGATGACCGCCGATGATGATGATGGTGGTGGTGATGATGGTGATGATGATGATTATGATTATGATCATTACTTCGTTCTCGTCGTCTTCTTTCCTCTCTCTTCTCTTCACGACGACTTCGACCTTCTTTTCTTGGCTCGTAAATTTCACCTATCGAATTATCTTTCCCTCTTCGATTGGAAGGACCACCACCAGAGCCACCTCCACTGTTAGCTGAATTATCCGGCTTTCCTCTGATGTCCATAATTAGTCAATTTTTCACCAGACGAGAACCTAGAGTATCAACACTAAATAAAATAGAAACACAGAAAATAATCTTTAGATTCTAGAATATCACTACAATAATGGAACAAAGACGAGGTGAGAATCAGGACATAAATTAAATGAGCTTAAAAAATATTTACCTAATTAGATCGGGTTATTTATATTAAAATAGACTATCAACTTTGACCAACCATTGGTGAGGAGAAATATCACATTTTTTGAGGGATCATCTGTTGTGAGCAGAAAACCGGTGCTGATTGAAAATAGCAGTGTCGTAAATTGGTACTAAAATTAATTACACGAGGTAAACATTTGGTTGTGATGAGATACTCAATTAATTATACATTGTATTAATCTTGAAATTACATGGAGTTATTTCATAGAAACTGCACCAGTCAAGAAAATTGTTTAATCAAAAAGTGTAAAAAGCATGCCCAAAGACCGTAAGTCTATGTTTGCCTTATGCTAACCATGCTAGTAAAACAACAAATGCCTGGATCATTTCTCTTTATCTATTCCTTTTCTTTCTTCACTTGTTATTTATTCATACTTTCGCAGTTACTTTTCTTCTCTTCTGTTTCAAAAAACTGAATTATTGTTGACGTTTATTGATTCTCGATTTTCTATTTTCGTATAGATGACAATATGTAAGCTGAATTAACTTGGACTATCATCATATCCAAAGGTAAGTGTATCTATTCTAAGAGAAACTAACAGTATTACAAAGTACTTCTCATTATCATACGATAGCTTACCTAACATCCTAAGTATATTTGTGAAAAAGCCAAGATTACTAACCTCATGCTATCCCTTTAAACTTCTGATTTTAAATTTAATACTAATACCTCTATTATTTTTCTTTCCTTACAGTGCAATTACGGACATCTATAAACACTATTCAAGCCCAGTCTCTCAACAATTAGCTTTAATGTGACAGACATATAACCAAGTTTATCTAATATTATCGATACCCTCCCTTATTCAACATAATGGAGTTGAAATGCAAACAAGGCTTCCTTAATATTGTTGATTATGATGAAGACGCTGTTAAAGCTGATCATGATGATGACGATTTCAGTAGTTATGATGATGACGACGACGATAATGATCACTACGATGAAGATTTTATGCCCCCAGTTTCTTACCGAAGCATTGGCATTCAAACTCAATCCCCTTTTATGGTTGACAAAGCAATTCAAGTCTTTATTCCTCGTACGAAACCTTCTGAAAAAACGTGTGAGAAAACTTGCATGGCTGTCACGCCATCTTTAAGAAAAGCCCCAACAAATGGCCATAGATTGATGCCTAATATAGTTTATGGTGGAAAAACTAACTATTATGAATCTCCTTTAAACAGGATTAATTTTGCTTATGATCAAGTTGACAGTGAAATATCAAACCAGAATAATAATGAAAATCACAAATTGATTGGTGCAGCCAAACGGAAACAAAAATCACCAAATGACGAAGCTACTATTAACAAGTTAAATAAAAAATTTGTTGGCGATGAATCTTACAAGCACCAAGAAACTGATTCGAGTGATCTCAGGATTGGATTGATCTCATTTAATGATGAAGATCCAATATCTATAGATGTTGACACAAACCAAACCATGACGATGGTTAACCGTTCAAACGATACTGCTGATGATGCCCTGGAAATTGATGATGAGTACATTTTTACTCACCACCCAACCGGCCTGGGATACCAAATTTTCAATGAAAAACGTTCAATCAATAAAGAAATGATGGAACAGGTATTTGCGTCGGTTATCGGCAGAGAGGATAAATTCTATTTATGTTTATACCCACCGCACAAAGGATCCTGCCATTCTCATGCTGGTAAATCAACCAAAATTCGTGTTGTCAAAAATCATCTTACATCTCACCTATTTCTCTATCGATGTCGATTATGTGGCAGAACGTACAAATATTACAACAACCTTTTCAATCATTTCAACAAACACCCTTAACTTCGCTGCGTTACTTTTCACATGGAATTTTTCAATACACAATATATTTCGTCCTCTCACAGCTTGTAATAGATATTCCATTAGAATTGTTCACTAGTTCAGCCAAATTGAATTAATTCGACACTCCCAGTGCTATAATTTTTAATTAATCAATGTTTTTTTTAATTATCACACATTTACCCAACTATTTTACCAAAAAATGCCTTAACCAGTTGCTGATAGCAACAAAAAACAATTTGTTTGCCATTTCAATCTCAACAATAATCTATAAGTTAATCATTTCGAACCAAATCAAAGAAATGTTTCTTTTATAATAATCCTATGAATCCTAGTTCCATGCCTTCATAGTCAAAGCCTGTTATTTGTTATTACCCATGTTTCATCAAGTGCAAAATCAATGAGCTAAAAATTACACCTAATCATACACAGGCAAATAAAACATCTCAATTCAATTTAATCTAAACCAATAATTCTCAACATTTCTTTATTTATTGTCTTCTCAAAATAGATCCAGAAAACGAAGCAGAAAAATTCATGCTCAACTGAAAAAAACAATTTTCATGAGTGTAAAGCAATTTCAAAATTATCCAAAATATAGATTCAACTAGAAAGTTAATTCTCAACATAAACATAATTAACATTAACTCTTTAATATTCAATCAACAATCACTTGTTAGCCAAACAAAAACCTAAAGAAGCAAACTCAATCCAATCGAAATACAAAACCTTTAACTATCATTAACTATTAAACCCAGAAGAAACCAGAAATTGACCAAAGTAATTAACTCGAAACACTAAATTAAGAATGAAAAATTTAATAACAAACGTGTAAATCTTTTGCTAATAAAATCAATGGTTAAAAATCAAAATCTGAACCTAATTGCAAATAACATCCCAAGACAAAAAGGAGGAGAATTTTTTGAGTTACTCTTCATGCTAATTTCATAGCTTCTTTATCGCTCTTTCTTTCCTTCTCATCCTTCTCGTCTTTCTTTCTTTTCATCCTTTCCTACATATCATCCTCATCTCCATCCTCGTCTCTCCCCATCCTCTTCTTCCTGATGTAAAATTTAACACTAAACTCAAGCGTTAGCAGTTTTCTTGAACCAAAAATCTTAGTGTTTATACTTTTTTTCACTGCTACAGTTTCATTTCATTTTCAACTAGTAACTTATTCAATTAATTTATATTGCAATTAATATGGTTTAATTTCAATCATTTCATCTTAATCTTTTATAATCTTCATCAGTTTCATTTGTATTAGTTCAATATTTTGTGTGTTCATGGATTAGTTTCACCACTTGATCACGGTTTAAACAAACTCAAGTGAAATCCGATATTTATGGAAACAATTTGTTATTACTTTTAATATTAGTCAATTGTTAAATTATTAGGTGTTAATTTGTTAATTTCAATGTTGGTTATTGACCATTTTTAATCTACTGTTAAATTAATGTTGATTATTTAACTACAAATATTAAGCCAAATGAAACATATAAATATTCACATCTTACTATTTCTTGTGACAATATGTCTTTCAACCTTAACAAACTCGGTAAGTAATTTTGACCCATTCAACTGACTGATTGCTAGATAAATATGTAAATTGTAAGCCATTAATTGACTAAAATATCAACTCTGAAATGCATAAATCGATTGCCAACAATTTCATCTCAATAATTTCAGCTTCATTTGTTTCAATCCCTTTAGTTTTGTTGTTTTATTAACCATTGATTCTGATTTTCAATAAAATATTTAAAATCTAAATTTCGTTAAATTTTGTAGTTTGACTTCATCAAAAGCTATTAATTTTGCTGATTTGGGTTTGTTTACATTTGTAGACTAATTTCTGGTGAAATACAGAACTGCTTAACCAGAAATCAAAGCAATTTCAATATATAGATGGATGATGAGGATGATGAAGATAGAGTAAACTGTAAACTATTTGAATTTGCATTTGTTTTTAATAATTTTACTGGTAAAAGCAACTAATTTGAAGCTGAAGAGACTCTAGACTGATCTAAATTTAGGTTGTTTAAGTTACGAGTTTGCATGGTTATTGCTATAAGTACAACATTTATACGGTTTACTAGAGAAGATGAAGATGCAAAAAGGATAGGAAAGGGAAAAAGTAAGAGAATGAAGATGATTTCCTTTTGAAAATTGCTAAGACATAAGGATCTTGTTAACAGTTGCTGGATCAAAATCAAAATAAACATAAAAATGGGAAGAAGGAAGTGAACATGAAAAATGCGAATAGCCATTAGTAAAGACAAGTAAACAAATTATGTGCTAGTCTAGCTATACTGACCTCTAAGATTGATATTTGATCCTTGTAATTTGTTGTGTGAAGTCCATACTATGGACAGTGTAAAAAATTATACATTTCAGTCCTGCACTAATGATAGCGAAGACATAACATTACTTTTTAACATTGCGCTCATTGGAGTTGCTTTTATGCTCAACGGTTCCTGTTTGCATCGAGAAAGATATGTTAATTGAGATGAAATTTTGTCTGTTCATCTGAAATTGATTGGAAATTGTAAATTTGGCTATGGATTGAGTGGAAATTTGAAGGATTTATCATAAAATGAACGGTTTAACTAAGATTTGTCTAAATTTAGAGTATAAAGGATGAAAGTTAACATTATTTTAGCAATAAGTGAAGTCTAATTATTTGTTGAGGCTCTTACAAAAAGTCACAATTATCTGATTATTTAGACTCTGAAAGTTTGTAGGGGAATGAAAACTGAGTCCACTTGTACAATTTAAAAGCTTCTATGATAAACAGTCTTTGAGAAAATCGAGTTCGAAGTTGAAACTTCGATCGTCTTTTGTCAAGTCGTTTGATTTGATTTTTTAGTGAAACTCATTTTTCTGTTGTAACTTTTGATAGTGAACCATAAAATGGACATGTTTCGATAAATAACATTTTCTGTTGTCTTTAAAACAGATCAGTTCGATTTTTAATTAAAACGACCGAACACTGCGACCATAAAAGTTACATTGTTGAAACTTATTATTGACCAATAAGAATTGTTAGTGAATATTACGCTATCAATATTTTTTTCAATTAGTCAATAGTTCGCTTGATTTTTGCCAGAAAACCAGAAAACTTTATACCTCGATATTTCGAAATTGGTGGTACATAAAATCACAATTATTTCACTAATCCAATCCTTTACTGCACATTATTTCAATAGAGTCGAAAAACTTTTCATTATTGCATTTGGATCACGATATTTGGGTTTTAAAGTGGCGAGACACAACTTATTCAACAAAATAAACTCATATTAATGCACATCTTGGTAAAAGAACCAGTTTTCTGGTTCAACTTACAATTGAAATGAAAAGAATGCTGCCAAAGGCTCGAACATTTGACTAGAGACTTTAGACTTATTGGGATTTGTAGGGAAATAAAAACTGTGTCCATTGGTTCAATTAAATAGCTCATCCGATGGACAGTTTCTTAGGAAATCGAGGTCAAACTTGAAACTTCGATCGCGTTTTGTACAGTTGTGTGACTAAATTTTTTGATGAAACACATCTAGCTTATGTAAATTTTGATAGGCAACCAGAAAATGGTCTGATTTTGAGTAAAAACATCTTCTGTTTCTGATAAAACAGATCAGTTCGATTTGCAATTAAACCGATCGCAATTTGTGACCGCAACCATTAGAGAACTGAAACTTTGCATCAGTATATAAAACTTGCTTGTAAACATTATAGATTGAATAATTTCCGCAATCCATCAATATTTCTCTTAATTTCGGACATTTTCTTCAAAACTTTGAGTCTCAATAATTCGAGATCGGTAGTCTGTACAGCCATCATTTTTTGACCAAATATTAGGATGCATGTTGGGCTAAAATAAATTGAAATATTAATTTATTGAAGATCCTACAAAACAAACATATAGCATCGTAAAACTTTAGTTGTCAGATCTGAGAATTGATTTATAAAGTTAAATGGTATTCAAATATGAATCGAAATATGTGTTGAAATAATATTCATTTTTGAATAGATAAGCTGACCTTTTATTTGTTATTTAGTCAACTTATGTTATAGCCCATAATGCATTCTAGTACTTGGTCAAAATTGATGATTGTAGAGGCAACAGGTCCCAAAATATCGAGACACAAAGTTTTAAGGCCAATATCCAAAATATAGAGAACTATTGATTAATTGAAAAAATCATTCAAATTATGATGTTTACAAACAATTTTTATGTGTCAAAAATAAGTTTCAGCCATGTAACTTTTATGATCACGGAATACGGTCGGTTTAATTGCGAATCAAACTGATCTGCTTTAAAAGAAACAGAAGATGTTTTTACTCAAAATCAGACCATTTTCTGGTTGCCTATCAAAATTTACATAAGCCAGATGTGTTTCATCAAAAAATTTAGTCCCACAAATGTTCAAAACGCGATCGAAGTTTCAAGTTTGACCTCGATTTTCTAAGAAACTGTCCATCAGATGAACTATTTAATTGCACCAATGGACACAGTTTTTATTTCTTAACAAATCCCAATAAGTCTAAAGTCTCTACTCAAATGTTCGAGCCTTTGGCAGCATTCTTTTCATTTCAATTGTAAGTTGAACCAGAAAATTGGTTCTTTTACCAAGATATGCATTAATATGAGTTTATTTTGTTGAATAAGTTGTTTATCGCTCATTTAAAACCCAAATATCGTGATCCGAATGCAATAATGAAAAGTTTTTTGAATCTATTGAAATAATGTGCAGTAAAGGATTGGATTAGTGAAATAATTGTGATTTTATGTACCACCAATCTCGAAATATCGAGGTATAAAGTTTTCTGGTGAATGGCAAAAATCAAGCGAACTATTGACTAATTGAAAAAAATATTGATAGCATAATGTTCACTAACAATTCTTATGGGTCAATAATAAGTTTCAACAATGTAACTTTTATGGTCGCAGTGTTCGGTCGTTTTAATTAAAAATCGAACTGATCTGTTTTAAAGACAACAGAAAATGTTATTTATCGAAACATGTCCATTTTATGGTTCACTATCAAAAGTTACAACAGAAAAATGAGTTTCACTAAAAAATCAAATCAAACGACTTGACAAAAGACGATCGAAGTTTCAACTTCGAACTCGATTTTCTCAAAGACTGTTTATCATAGAAGCTTTCAAATTGTACAAGTGGACTCAGTTTTCATTCCCCTACAAACTATCAGAGTCTAAATCAGAAAAGAAGTTTATTTTGACCTGTTTTGGAACATTTTTCTTCCAGTATTTGTCTAGATCCGTGTAGATTGTGCATAAATGTGAAGTTTGTGTTAGTTGTGTCTTTTTAGTAACAAACATTTGCTAGTAAAGATGAATTTTGATAGCTCAAAACTATGCATCTATGCATCAGAATTCTGGTTTCTGGATGAAAATCAAAATCCAATTAGACTGGTTAGGGCTGTTGGTTCAGTCGATTAAACTCATTAAATAGCTGATTAATGAACATTCGAGTTGGATTGATGCTTGTTAATTGGATAGCAACATCAAATTGCGAATGCATTATGTATTTAGTAAATAACAGTTTGTTATTAACAATTGATTGACTTTAATTTTTTCCATTTCCATTTGATTTTAGGAACCAAACCAATCTCTTAATCAATATCGTCAACAAAGCCGAAGAGCTCGACAACGATTTTACAATGTAAGCCAAGTTTGAAATAAATTTTCAAAACCATAATCATAATTATTATAAAACCATCATCAATTTATTTTGAATCAACTGAAACCCCTTTTATGCTTTGCGTTTTAGCCTTGCTCTGAATGTGTCGAAAAGCCATGTTTATGCAAAGGACAAGATGGTTACACTGTAAGTTAAAGTTTAAATCGACTCTTAATTTGTTGATCTAAATTTTATTGTTAAATTATGATTGATTTTCCAGGGAGCTCCAGGATATGTAGGACCAAAGGTATTTACAACTGAACATGTTAACACAAATGGAGGAATCAAATGATTATTTGTTGATTTTCAGGGATTTATGGGTGAACATGGTGTGCAAGGACAGGTCGGACCAGTGGGTGATAAAGGAGAGCGAGGTCAAATAGGAGATTGGGTAAGCTTATTGTAAACCAATCTGAAGCAACAGTAATTAATACAATCATGAAAACAGGGTCCTCCAGGACCAAAGGGTTATAAAGGAGAAGTTGGACTTCGTGGACCAACTGGTAAGTATAACTGACCATTTATGTGAAAAATTGAAAACAAAAAATTCTAAGTTTGAAGGAATGAACTTTATTTCCAATATTATTTCAAATATCGTGTTAATATCATTTGCTATACATTTAATTAAAGGTAAGCCTGGATTGAATGGACTTCGCGGTTACACCGGTGAACAGGGAGAACCTGGTAAGTTGAATATAAAGAAACTAGAAAATGAATAATATCACAACTTGGCATTTCAGGTGATCCTGGATGTAATGGTGCTGATGGTGTACCAGGTCCTAAAGGACCCAGAGGAATGGATGGATTTCCTGGTCCTCGTGGTGATAAAGGACTGGACGGATTGCCAGGTCAACCTGGTGAAGGTGGAGTTAATTCACGAGCAATCAAGGGAGATCCTGGTGAATCGGGTTTACCAGGATTCCCTGGTTTAACTGGTGATAGTGGAGATGACGGACCTCCAGGTTATATGGGTGATATTGGCTATCCTGGACCTAAAGGGCCACAAGGTGTTGTGGGACCTGAAGGAGAATCAGGTGAAACAACGATTGGCCCAATCGGACCGCAAGGTAAGTCTTGATCTGTTAATTTATCAAATTGTTGGTTAGTTTTGATAAACATTTTTTGATAAATTTTTGCATTTATTTGTAAAATCGAAATGATATTAATTTGTAAACTTGATATTATAAACTTATTATTATGTTTTTAATTAAAAAAGGATTGAAAGGGGAAAGAGGAGAAAGAGGTGATCCAGGTAATGATGCCCAACAACATACAAGCTCAACAGCCATCGCTGGTCAAAGGGGTACTCCAGGTAAGCGATTATGCAAGTTACATTAAAAATTTCACAATTAACAATTAATACATGAATACCAATTTTATCTTCAAGGTAATCTTGGAGACAAAGGAGACAAAGGAGTTAAAGGAGATCAGGTCAGTTTGGTTTGGACTTTTATGCTTAAAAATTGCCATTTTATTCGTCAAGTCATTAAGGCTTGGCAAGTTTGTGAAAAGTTGAATGTGCGATGTTTTCAATGTTTGAATTTACTTTTTCCATTTCAAGGGAATTCATGGTGCACAAGGTTTTATAGGATTTCCCGGTGCTCCTGGTGTTAAAGGTGATCCTGGTGATTTGGGATTGCGTGGTATTAGAGGTGAGGATGGACCAACCGGTGAACAAGGTATTAAGGGTCAAAAAGGACAGCCAGGAGTAGACGGAGTCGATGGAAATCCCGGTCCCATTGGATTAAAGGGTTTTATCGGAGATGTTGGAGATCCTGGTAGAGATGGACCTCCTGGACCAAAGGGTGCATTGATTGAGATATCTCGACCAACGAAAGGTGCACGAGGATCACCCGGACCACCCGGACCGAAAGGAGTAGCTGGTCCCGATGGGAAAAGGGGTTTACCTGGACCAATGGGTTATCCTGGTGATCCCGGTCCACCAGGTTTTCCAGTAAGTTAATTTTAACAATATTAACTATTCATCATTAGAGAAGTTGAAAAGCTGCAGCTAAACTTATTGATTAAACTCATCAGATTTATATTTTTATTTACTGTTGAATAATTTGTGGTTTTAAACAATATAATAAAAGATAAAAGTTAATAGCAGTTCAGTCGTTTAGTAAGTATATTTGATATTACAATATTGTAATAAAATAAATTAGGTTTGACTGAAAATATTAAAAAAATATTGTGCAAAGTTTATTATTAATACATTTGTAAAGAGTACAATTAATGAAATTATTGGTAACAAATGTGCGTTTTTAAAATGTTCAAAGGGTCCTCCTGGTCCTGATGGACTTGTTGGTATCACTTTCCATGGTGATCCTGGTGACTCAGGTTATCCAGGATTGCCAGGATTACCTGGTATTCGTGGACCTCCAGGACCTTATGGACTACCCGGTGAAAAAGGGCAACAAGGTGATGATACAGTTGGACCTCAAGGTGCACCTGGACTTCATGGATTCCCTGGGTGGGAAGGTATGTTTGTATTTTTAGATTGATTAAAATAAATCCTGGATAAAGTTTAACTTGACTCCTTGTTGAATGAATTCAAGAGTAAAATCATTCTGTGAGTGTAATTTTGCTCTTTGTGAAGAGATGTGGAATCGATTTGGAATGCGTCATAAAATAACGAAAATAAATATCAAATTTTTTTACAATTTTACTTTAATTTTTAAAGGACTACCCGGTGAGAGAGGAGATATCGGTAATACAGGAGACAAAGGAACACCAGGTCGAGGGATTCCCAAACAAGGACCCAAAGGGCCTTATGGATTGAGTGGAAATCCAGGAGATCCTGGTGAACCTGCACCACCAGGAGTTTCCGGAATAAAGGGAGGTAAAGGTGACAAAGGAGAGGATTGTATAAGCTGTCCTGATGGTGCGAAAGGTAAGTTTATTAAAAGTTAAATTAGTCTCGAAATTTTAACTTTGACTTCAATCCATTCAATTGAATAACATAATATTTTTCATTGAAGGTTTTAAAGGTGATCAAGGGTCAAAAGGATTTTCGGGTATGCCAGGTTGGCCAGGAAGACCAGGTTTACCAGGACTACCTGGGTTAGGAGGCCTACCGGGTATAAAAGGAAAACCCGGTGTCAAAGGAATGAGTGGTGTTCGTGGTAATCCGGGAATATCGGGCTGTAAAGGATTGAAAGGAGATCAAGGAGAAGTGGAAATTCCACTCTATGATGAAACCTCACTTCGAGGTCCTACTGGAGATCCTGGTCTACCGGGTTTACCAGGCAAACCTGGAAAACCAGGAGTACCAGGTCAAGATGGATTCCCTGGAATACATGGCAGAGTAGGAGACAGAGGCGATTATGGGGATGATGGTGAGTCTATCCTCACAAATTCATCAATAGTCGAAATGTCGACTTAATCATATTCCAATACAATGTTCCTCTTTTTTATCAAAACAGGTCCAAAAGGAGAGAGAGGTCCTACTGGAACGCGGGTGAGGTTATTTGCTAGACTTAAAATTCGTATAAATAAGACACTTAGTAATTTGAAGATTATTGATTGAATTTGAATTTTGTTTAAAATTTCAGGGTCCTCCAGGTCTAAAGGGAGATCCTGCCTATTACTGGCCTGAAACCACCGGTGATAAAGGAATAAAAGGCGACCCTGGAGATGAAGGACCTCGAGGACAACCCGGAGACAAAGGAGAGAAAGGAGATTGGTTCGCAAAACCAGAAAATTTGATCAAGTTTGGTGTTCCTGGAATGCCGGGTGATAAAGGAGAAATGGGAAACTCAGGAGTGAACGGTTTAACTGGTAGAAAGGGTGAAAGAGGACTACCTGGTGCATCAGGGCGAAAAGGGGAACCTGGAAAGCCAGGAATAAGCCCAAGAGGCTCCGTTGGGTTCAAAGGTTAGAAATATTAATTTCTTACTTATTATAGTTTAAAATTTCGTGCATTTTTAACTCCTCATAACCTTTATCTTTTGGAGTTGGACGAAAAATCGATCACTTACAATCATTTGCATCAAAGATCAGAATCAATCAATCTAGGCAAGCTAATCTGAAAAGTCTCAATGTTTCAATCAAAACTATTTAATAATTTACTTATTAAATAGAGCGTTTGATGGATGTTTATTGAATTAGAGATTTTGAACCCAAATTTACTGAATTAACCATGGCTAATGATTTGAAAGCACTGAAATTATTAATTTTTAAAGTTTTCTAAAATTTTGATCATTAGTTTAGTAAAACGCTAAACTCTACAATTTCGAGTATTGACGCGTGTTACCAAAGTCCTATGCACCATTAAAATCTCTTGAAATCTGTCAGAGTTATCGTTCTTATTCCAAACTTAAGCTAACTATTCATAGATTAATAATATTAATAAATAATTAATAAATCAAATAATGTCAATATAAAACTTGGCATTCTTATTTAAAAAATGATTTAAACGTATTGATTCTGGGAAAAGTCAGAATCTATGTTTTCTGAATACAATGTTTTACAAGATTTTTCAATGTTCAATTTTCAAATTAACTAGGATTCAAGGGATCACCAGGTGACTTCGGACTGGACGGTCCTAGAGGAAACAAAGGTGAGCTAGGATTAAAAGGTCTAGAAGGATTTGATGGATTACCTGGGCCTAAAGGAGATCGAGGTGAAAGTTATAGAGGTAAATCTGGAGGACAAGGGGAGGTGGGACGAAAAGGTAAGCATATCATTTGGTTAACTGTTAACAATCTAAGACTTGAGGTGTCATTAGGTGATATATTTTATGGTATAAACAAGTCCATTAAAACATATTCGTGAAAATTGTTTAGGTTTCCAGGGTGAATATGGAGATCCTGGTTTAACAGGAGAAATGGGTCCAGAAGGGCCTAAAGGAATGAAGGGTCAAAGAGGTGACATTGGTTTACCAGGTCCAATGGGTTCAACTGGTCTAAAGGGTATTCCTGGTGATATTGGAAAACCCGGAGAAAGTGGAATCCCTGGTTTACTCGGAGAACGTGGTTTCTCTGGTGACAAAGGCTTCAGAGGTGACCCCGGACCACCTGGTTCAGTGGGATTACCCGGAGATATTGGTGATCTTGGAGAAATGGTAAGTTTGAACCAGTGAACCAGAAATCGGTTGAATAGAAGCTCGAATAAAGACTTTATTAGACTAACTATCTTGACTTTTAATGCGACGCAATTTTGATTAGTCATTGATCATTTTTAATTAATTTGATTTAACTGTTTGACTTGGAGTGTTTATTAGATTTAAATTATAGTCAATAAACTCTTGAAATTAAACAAATATTGAAATACCCAAAAAATGTTTCTTACTAATAATCAAATTATGAGAAAGGTCAATGGGTTGTCAACAAAGCTAATAAAGATTTTTGGGTGTTTGGATATTAATTTTGTAACAATTAACCTCTGTATTTAGCTGTTTTCTGTCAGTGATTCACTGATTTTTCAGAAATTATTCACATGATTTTTTCTGGATTATTTACAAAAAATTGAGTTTCTCTGATTTCGATAAGATTTTTTTTGTGGTTATGTTTTTGTTGGTCAATTTTATGAAAATATTGCTAAAATATGATTTCGTATTTAAACAGGGCGATAATGGACTTGATGGATATCCAGGTTTTGCAGGAAAGCCGGTAAGTTGGTTAACTGATAAAATTAAGATTTAAATTAACAACCAATTTTTTGAACTCAGGGAAAACCTGGGTTAGATGGACTTGATGGATTTCCCGGATTACCTGGTAAGATTGTAAATTTACTCAAGATTTTTGATCAGTCCAGTAATCACCAATGACTATGTACAGGTTCAACTGGAGATGAAGGTGACTCTGCTGAAGATGGTCCACCAGGTCCACCTGGACCTCAAGGTTTCAATGGAATGCCAGGTGAACGAGGTGATACCGGTATAAAAGGGGAACGTGGTGATACTGGACCTATTGGAAAAAAGGGAGCTAAAGGAGACCCAAGCAATTTGGGGCTTAAGGGAATGCAGGGTGACATGGGGCCAATGGGTTATCAAGGCCCACCTGGACCTCCAGGATTACCAGGATTACGAGGTGTAATAGGTGACCCAGGACCAGTCGGTTATGGTGCAAGAGTTAGTTACTTAAAATATCGTAACAGCATTTTATTTATCACAATTCTGTTGAAAGAGCTAATAGAAAATTTTAGTATTTTTATATCTTCTTAACTTTGTCACTATTTAGCAATTATTGACTTAGAGATGACAATTCATTACATTTATTACTATAGTATTAACAGATAAAGAGAAAGGATAATCACTATTCACCATAAATTATGAGATTTTCAGCAGCTGAATGATTAAATTAACCAATTAACTCAAATCAAACATTTGTTGGATGAAGGTAAATTACCTGCCTATTATTTTAGGTTTTAGGTCTTGAAAATCTTGTGCATTTCATGTTTTCGCTGGTTAAAATCAACCAACATAATTAAATTTTTCGTACGATAACCTTTGTTACAAGATTTGAAGATTTAGATTGACTTACTACTTTTAGTGTCCACTGATTGTTGATTATGTGATAAAAATAATTTCTCGTATTTTGTTGCATGTTAACAGAAAGTTTCTCTTGACTAATCCTTAATTTTCATGGTTAATATTTGATCAAATTCTGATAGGGTCCTCCTGGTCCAGATGGTTTACCAGGTTTACCCGGATTGCCTGGTTTACGAGGACTACCAGGTCCTGAAGGTGAAAATGGTAAACCAGGACCAAAGGGAATAAGGGGAGATAATGGAGATCCTGGTTATCCTGGTCTTCGTGGTATGGTTGGTTTGCCAGGTCCAAAAGGTTTGAAAGGTATTCGTGGTGACGAAGGTGAACCAGGAGGTATTGACATCGTCAAACCTAGCAATGTGGGCAATCCAGGTCCTCCAGGTACGTCTATGATTCCGTATTTGATTTAACATACTGATACATCAATCTATATTCATTTTTTTAAACAAAAGGTCCGAAGGGTCAACAAGGTGAATTTGGACTTAAAGGCTATAAAGGTAATTTCAACTAAGTTCCGCGGTTAGAGAAAATTAATTAAAAAAGATTAGTTAATTTAATGGATTTGTTTCAATTTGAAAAGGTGCAAAAGGTGAACCCGGTGATGATGGATGGGATGGCAGTTTAGGATACAAGGGCATGAAAGGTCTAAAAGGAGATCTTGGACCCATTGGTCCTCCTGGTTTTTCTGGAAAGCCAGGTATAAGCTATTCAGCAATTAAAGGAATTCAAGGATTGCCTGGTTTCTATGGATTACCTGGAGTTCCTGGCAAAGATGGTTTGCCTGGATTACCCGGGTTAAAAGGTGAATTAGGAGATACAGGATATCCTGGTCCTAAAGGAGATACCGGAGATATTGGTGACCCAGGTAGGCACAATTATGACATAAATAGATCAAATACATCTGATTTTGCATGTGTAAAGTTTCAATTGTAAAATAATTCAACTTAACAACCAGTGAATAGATTTTCCGAAAATAAACCTATTCTTTCCTATTCTCAGGTGTTCCTTCAGTCGAATATACTGGTTCAATGGGTCCTAAAGGTAAGTCAATTATTTGATCACAAATAAGACATCGGAATCTTAAAACTGCTGTTTTAATGATAAAATTAGATGTGAAAATTTTATATTAATATGTCTATTTCAATTTCAAAGGTGAGCGAGGAGACCCTGGGCTCCCTGGACTGATGGGCGAACCGGGTTATAGTCCACCCCCTGGAGTAGATGGTGAAATGGGAGAGCCTGGATATATGGGTGAAATGGGTCCAAAAGGATATCAAGGAGAAAAAGGTCAAAGAGGTAAGTTTATCGGTTAGTTACTTGGATGGTTTGCTTAAATTTTTGTGTCTTAAAGGTGATATCGGGCGCAAAGGAGTAGCTGCACCACTTAGAGATGAAATCGACAAGGTAAGTCACTTTAAAATCATTCATATCATTTCTGAAAAGGCCTAAAATTAAAAAGATGAGAATTATTATGAAATTCAATAAAATAATTAAAATAGGGCCTCTGAATACAAATTTAGATTGTACTTTACCTTAGATTAGAACCAAGTTTCTTTAGTATCTGTTGCTGATGTTTGATATAATTATGAGATAGATGTTCAAAACACTTTAAATGCAATAGAATCTAAACCGTTCTTGAGAAAAGATGTTCATTTTGCTTAATCATAGCCTTGATGTGACAAACCATAATTGAGACAATGTTTAACATTTCGATTTAACTTCATTCAATTATTTCAGGGTGAAATGGGTGATAAAGGTTATGCGGGAATACCTGGCATGATGGGCTTTAGAGGTTTTCCAGGACCGGCTGGTGAACCGGGCTATCAAGGCCCGGATGGCCTAAAAGGAGATGAAGGATATGAAGGATTACCCGGTCTACCTGGTTTAGATGGAATACAGGGATTACCTGGTGACCCAGGAGACGACGGTAAACTGGGTGCTAAAGGAATTAGAGGTAATCCTGGTTTCGCAGGTGGACGTGGACTAACAGGTCGCCCTTCATCTTCTCGTGGTTACTTTTTCACGCGCCATTCACAAACAATTTATCAACCCAGATGTCCTAACAATACAACGCCTCTTTGGGATGGTTATTCTTTACTTTATATCATGGGTCATGATGGAACTCATGGACAAGATTTAGGTTCTCCAGGATCATGTCTGCGACGTTTCAGTACAATGCCTTACATTGTATGCGATCAGGAAGATCAGGTGTGTCACTATGCTCAGGCCAGTGACTATTCATATTGGCTCAGTACCGAAGCCCCTAAGCCTGTCTCAGGAACTCCAGTTGTGGGACAAAAGATTAATGAGTACATTTCCCGATGTACTGTTTGTGAAGCTCGTACCCAAGTTATTGCAATGCACAGTCAAACAAATAATCCACCAGATTGTCCAAACAATTGGGAAAGTCTTTGGATTGGATACAGTTTTGTTATGAACACTGATGCTGGTCCAGGTGGAAGTGGTCAACCTCTTAACTCTCCTGGCTCTTGCTTGGAAGATTTCCGTCCTCAACCTTTCATTGAATGTCATGGTGTTGGTCGATGTAATTATTACACAACATCAACCAGTTTCTGGTTGGCAGCATTAGATCAATCTTCCAACAGGACGTTTAGTCGACCAATATCTGAAACTATTGATCCAGCTTATGTTCACAATAAAATCTCAAGATGCCGTGTTTGTATGAGAAGCACAACACCAAGAGCTTCTTTTACTTACACTGCACCAATATCATCAATGGATTATCGTTTAAGCTGATTCACTTCCAAACTAAATTAAATTATTTCAACTATTAAAGCAACATCAAATGAAATTGTTTTTTTTTTATTCTGTCATTTGACATTAAAAACAAAAATAAAGTGACATAAAAAAAAGTTATTGCTTAGCAAAATACTCAAATAAAAACATGATTGTATAATTGAAAACAAGGTGAATCAAAACCACTTACTTTGTTGAATTTCAATTACAAAATACAGTAATCGCTGCAAAAATTCACATGCATTAAAAACACGCATTAAAGCTATAATTTCGACGCGACTTTCAACGGGCAATTTTGAATAATTTTTAATTTAATTATAAAAGTTGACAAGTTAGTAAATAATAATTAATAATTTTCAATATAAAAACCCAAAACTTAAACACCTGTTAACCGTTACTAACGGTCCGTTGACTGTTTATTAAAAAATTACATAGATGGCAGAACAGATAATTGTATACTTTAAAAAGTGCGGAAAATCCTTTCAATTAAATTTTATTGATAATTTAAGTTATTATATCTATTGTGTGTAAATTACTTGATTGGTAAACGACTATTCAAGTTTTTGAAAGATATCACAAATCAACCATCGTAAAAGACCGAAATTATTTCTGATTCTCATAGATTCAGGATAAAAAAACTGGCTTGCTATGTCTATTAACAAATTGCAAACCACCATCAAGATTCAAGGTTAATGGCTGATATTGATGTGACGTTATCTATTTTACAATTAACTTATGCTAGCTGATTTCTTATTGAATTGATTAATTAATCAAGATGGTGTTGATAAAGATAGTGAATCAAATTAATGGTTGACTTAGTGTTTCAAAAATAAAACCGAGAGACGCATTTCCATGAATGAAGGTCGACATGTAACCAGCAAACCATCAGCAACAATCTGTTCAAATGATGACAGAACATTAACCATTACAGGAAATTGGAACTTGTATTGTTAACAGTTATTCCATTCTTTCTATCCTTATCATCATCCAACAATTGAACATAATCAGCATCTGGTTACCTCTTATGATTGCTCCTATTCCTATTGTTATAAACTTATAACACTTGCTTTTTTTTTGTTTTCCTATTCAAACCCATTAAGATCACCAGGATGACAAATTAACTCGTAACCATCTAATTGTATCTGATCCTGGAGTTGGTTGAACCAACAACGGAAACCATATTGAACCTGAACCATCAAATAATTGTAACATCAAAACAACAAAAATATGGAGTTTTTAATCTAAAACTGGCAACTGGAAAACCAAAGCAATCTTCATTAGCAACAGTTGTGTACTTCAATATGGTAAAATAAGTGTCCCATTGGATTAACTTGAGTAATTGATTGTCTTTTCTAGACCAAACATTAAACTAAACTAATTTAATTAATTGTGATTTCCTTTTCTCTTCTAGTTTGAATAAATTGAATAAATTATAACCGTCAAATGATGCTTAATAAGCTACTTCTGTTTCATGGCTATGTGAATCCTGAAAACTTGAGGGGTTACCCTAACAAGATGGACCAAAACTAAGGAACCAACCATTTGATCATTCCAATTGCTGTTATATCAATCGTCCGAATCAAGTAAATAGCAGCAAATGGAAATAAACAGCAATCATTAACATCATTACAACGTAATTGTTACCAACATTGATGAGTAAAAAGTAAGTTTTCCATGCTTTAAGATATTCCAATCAGTTGTTACCCAAAACCGTTTCTGTGACTAAAGACGCCCTTAATAGCCACAATTGACTTGAATACTGACAACAATTATGACAATATTTACCAGTCAAATCAAATTAATAGTGAAGAGATCCATGAATGATGAGGAGGCTGATAAAGAGGGATGAAGGGAAAGAAGAAGAAGAAAAAAACGAAGACAAATTGATTAGTAGCAAGAAAACGCACATTTAAAAGACTTACATTATTGTACAATGATGATAGTTATGACGAAAGAAAGGGATGAAAAGAAGAGAAGAAGTGAAATAGCAGATATAAGATGAAAAGAAACACTCACAAAGATGAATATGAAAAATGAAAAAGATTGACAGCGAAGAGATGATGATAAGATGATGATAGAGAGAGAGATGAGTTTAGACAAGGAAGGAAACTGAGCCGCAAATTGAGTTTCCATGTCACTAATTATCATCATTTTGTTTGTTTTTCCTAGTTGAACACTTAATGCTGTCTAGCTATTTCCACCGGCCACCATGATCATTACCACCGCCAGCAACTCCATCATATGCCATTAACACGTGTTACCAGTCGCCATTAATTGCAAATGTAATAGTCAATTGGTTGTTTTTGTTTCAATGTTTTTGATTTTTTAGTTACAATCAAAAGATAATCCTGTTGACGCTTGAGAAATTAGTTTAAATCTTAACCTTTTCAGGGTTATCAGAATGATAAATAATACATTACAACAACAACAATAAAAGTGCTTTCTCTCTCCTTCATATCATCAATTTCATCATTTGATAGACTCAACATGATCAATGTGGTTTTCAAATCAACGTATTTTGTATTGTAATGCGCTTCAACTAAAAGTTAAATAAACCATTCAAATCTAAAATCAACCATACAACTTACGACGCTCATGTTCAACTGTCTTTTACAATTGCCATTATTTTAAAACAACAATTAATGTTACACATTTGATGTTATGTTTACCACTATATTATCAGCTACTTCTGAATCACCTTCCCGATCACCATTATCATTATCATCACCACCAACACCAGTAATATCCAAAGTGTATCATATTCTTGTGTGCCTTCTTCAGCCTCTTGATAACCTTTTTCCAGTTGTGATTTATCCTTGTTGTTTAGTCATCAATTGAGCCTTTTAAAGTGCAAACAAAATGGTTTTAAAGATGATTAAGATCAACGGCCCATAACAGTGAGATATTATCAAATAGGACAAACGGAGAGACAAAACCATCACAATGATAATAACTACAATGAAGAAATCAACAGCAACAATGATAATCTGCACAAATCATCTCATCTCAGCTACTTCAATCAACGATTACACTTTTCATCATCACCATCACCATAGTATCAATAAACAAATATTGTATCCATAGTTTAAAATTTTACAATCCAGTGCCAAGACTAACCAGTCCAAAGTATGTTTAATTAATCACCTCTTGAGATGAATCAATAAATTGCTCGATACGGGGATAAACTCAAGCCTAGTAGTCACCATTGAAGTAACCATCATCGTCATCATTATCATCTGCAAAGTGAGGTTAGAAAAACAAGGATTAATCACAAAAGTAAACATTTTGGGCTTAAAAAATGGAATGACAGTGACAATGGTCAAGATTGAAATGCCTTTGTCCCATCCACTCATCATCTCGGCTTATAGACATCATCTTAATCATTATAGACTCATTTACCAAGTATTTAATCAGTGCGAAACAATAAATTCTAATCAGTGAAAAAAAGTACGTTTGTAAACAAACCCAAAAATCTCTTCCAAAATCAACTCATAATCTCACAACTCTCAACATTTTTACTTTTCTAAATTGTGTATCGAGTACATTTTTCAGTCTATCTTTTTTTTTTGTTTTTTTGTCCTGTTTTTTTCGTTAGTTTTTGTATTTCAATTTAGGTAATCATCATAGATTCATTAACCGTAAACTGTATTACTAAACCTGATCGCATGTATAATGCTGAAGCAATGAGATCAGTAACAAGGGCTCCACTTTCATTGCCCGAGTGGAAGAAACACATTTCGGATATTCGCAAATTTTCATCTTCACTATGGACTTTAAAACCCAATGTGACAATAGACAATCTCATCATAACTCTCCATTCAACCATTACGGTGCAAATATTAATGATTGGAACCATATTCGTGTCCATGAGACAGTATTTCGGTGATCCGATTGATTGCTTAACCAAAGATTCGGATATTAAAGCTTCCTTGATTGAACATTATTGTTGGATAGAAGGTGCTTTCTCAGTGATCGCCGGTGGTGAAACGGGAACATCCCAAGCTTATCCTGGAGTAGCACCAACTACAACCGCATCTGTTAAACGCCATCACAAGTACTACCAATGGGTCTATTTTGTATTAATTATACAGGTGAGTCGAATATTGGATTTCTTATATCTTCATGTGTCCATTTTGTGTCTGTCGATTTAAGTGATCATTCTGGAGAAAATTAAGGTTCGATTAGAGATATTTTGGATTTTGGTTCATTTTTCTCCTTTCAGCTTCGCTGTCTCATTCGGAATTCAACTTCCTTCCTATGATTTTAATTAGTAAAATCGGATATTCTGCAATTAAAACATTGTTTAATGATGAGGTGGTTTATCAATTTAGTTTGATAGTTTGACTATCTTATTTGTTTTAGCTCTAATTGGATTAAATGTGAATATGATTTATGCACAGTTGATCAGTTGAGTTTCTTTGAGGATTCATATTTAATGTTTTATCCGAGCTGCTGTTTCCTCTCTTCCTAGGTTCAATGTTGAATCAATTTATTTAATAACTCGTTTCCTCTTTACATTTTATGCAAATTACCAAGACAATTGTAGCTGAAAAAATGCTTCAAATCAGATTATCTGAATCAGGAAAAAGTTCAACTTGTTTACTTCTCAGTTTCCTAATAGTCTGAAAGTAGACCTGAGCAATTTATTTATCCCTAATTGTGCTGATTTTGTTGATAAGCTAACGCTAAGAAGTGGTAATCAACCATCAATAGATGCAGTAAAAAAGCTATCAATAAATTGCATCAAATAGCTAAAATCTGTGAATAGGAAAGATCTCAGACTAATAGATCAATATGAAACATTCATTATGAATAACTAGAGTAAACTCAGGTGCAATGACCAAAAATGATTTTTATTTACATAATGAACACTTAATCATTACAGTAATTGTAAGATACTAGAAATATTGAGTAATTGGTTGAACTATTAACAACTAAATTCAACCTAAAAAGGTAACAAGTTAATCATCGTAAGACTATTTGGCAAATCGTAAATACAAATGCTTCCATTGAGTTCCCGAATCCATTTTTGTTATAGCTAGGTTAAAATGGAGATGACTTGACCAGGAATGAAGCATGTTCTTTCCAGTTAGTTCTGAATCCAGATAGATACTAATTTATATCATTATTATCGTATAAATTTAAGATAAATAAACCTTTGAGATTAAGATGCATGAACTCAATTAAAATGGGTGCTAACTTAATGGAAGTATCTGTAATAACAATAGCAGTAATGAGCAGACGAGTAGCACAGACTAAATAAGAGATCTAGAAAGATAGATTACTTGAATCAGAAGTAAGGTTCACAAAAGGCATAATCAATCTAAATATTGAGGTCTGATTATAACTCTCAGAAATATAAATGTCAAAATATGGTTAATAAATTATTCCAAAAAGAGAAACAGTTCAACTCATCTGATAATAAATCAAGAAATAAACAAATTACTTACAAAGACAGATCAAGGCAATCATTTTGTTCCAATTAGAATTGATGTCTGCAACAATTTAGTCAATTTGAATATTTGCACTGGTAATATTTGAATTAATTTAGTAATAGATGAAATGTTTTAAACATTGTAAAGTTAATAATTAAATCAAGCAATTAATTATGCAAGCTTTTAGCTTTGGAATATTTTTGATCACACAAACGATAAAAGATTTACAGTAAAAGATACCTATCTAGATATTAAGATACCAACTGTAAGATATGTTTACTAATGTTTTGTTTTCCTTTCAATTTTCCATCTTTTTATAGTCAATTATGTTTTATTTACCAAAATTTTTATGGCGATCATCGGAATCTGGACGACTTCGAGAGCTGATTAGTAAATTATCTAGTCGATCAGTTGTCGAGTTGGATGAAACATCACGAATTCATATTGTTCAAGAATTGGCGGACAACTTGGCGATATCACACAACTATTTGATAACGGTCATCTTATGTGAAGTTTATTGTCTTTTCCATCTTGTGATTCAAATTTGGTTTACCAACATATTTTTAGGAGGATCATTTTATACTTTAGGATTACGCTGGTTAGCGTATGCAAATCATTTTTCCAGTGATGATCCACTGATTGCAATATTTCCTAGGATGGTCAAGTGTACATTTCATAAATATGGATTTTCTGGAACAATGGAAACCAAAGATGCTCTCTGTTTTTTGCCGTTGAATATTGTCAATGAAAAAATTTACGCCATTCTTTGGTTATGGTTTGCTATTCTTTTAGCAATTACGACGTTCCATCTGTTAATGGAGACAATTTTCGTGTCCTTTAGATCATTGAGAATACTCCGAGTGACTTGGCTTGCTCCAGGATGTAAACCCACCTTTATTAGAGGAATATGTAAACGAGCTGGACATTGGTTAATTTTGAGCTTTGTCGCAAATAACATTAAACCTTCTTACTTTCGTGATTTGATGGCCTTTTTGGAAAGAGATCATTTCGATCCTAAAGGAAAACCTCTTCACGTTTCTCGAGTCGGTGAATCGTTTGCACGGAAAAACACACCAACAAAATCTAATCCAGCAGCTCCTCTACCTAAACCTTATAAATCAAAGTCAAACAAAAAACTAGCAGCTAATACTGCATTATCATCAGCTTTAGCTTCCCATTTGACTCCAGCTAACAATTTGATGAACTCAAATAAACATAGCAATCTATCTGCATATTTAAGATCTAATAATTGTGATCCTCCTGGACCTGGTTTTGTAGCAACTGCACCAAGTAATTGGGAATCGGCATACTGGGGTGATGACAATGGACCCACAGAAGTTACCAAATTAACCTCTAATCATAACTATTGTGATGATCCTCGAGACGAATGGGAAATCGATGGGATTGCTGTTGAAGGAGTTAGTGGAGTGTCTGGTCGAGATGGTGAAAAAGGCAGTGAATGGCGCAGTTGGCCTGACGAGCCTCCATCCGACGACGATGTAGGCTATGAAAGGCCGAGATCAAACAACTGTCAACTAGGTCCAGAACTAAGCAATATTACAATAGAATGGCCCAGCAAATAAATTAATTGCAACATTGTTTAAACATTTTCATTTTCTTAATATTTATCATTCTCACATTTTGACAAACCAACATTTAGTCAATATTCATCATATTGATTTTTGTATCGAGTGCCTTTTAATATTGATTTTTTTGCTAACAGAAAAATTAAATTTTTCTTACACTTTTTAATCTCATCGTTTCAGTATTTCAATTATTACTGTTGCATGGTTAGTAGTTTTTCAGATTAATTAGCTGATGAAAAGTGAATGTGACTAGTGTCAACTATCAAGTTTTGAAATATGTCTTTTTCAATCAAACAATGTCTGTTAATGAGCTTTTCAAAACTCAGATCCAGCCTATGATAATTGTGTTGATAATTGACTATTTATCATTAATGAATCTTTATATCATTTATAAGTGCACATTCATTCATCACTTTCTTCCTGAAACTTTTAATAATATTTCTGTATCTAAATCTGTTTCGTTTACAAGCTTCTTGTGTATTGGTTTCTTTTTTTCTTTGATTGTTCATCTAATATGAAAAAATCAAATTAATGCTCATATCATGAAGAACAGATTTGAACAAAAACTCAATAAAATCATGAATTTTCTGAAGGCCTTTACTCCATCTTAATTTATTAATCATTTCATGTTATTCCTCTAGAATCAGTGAATTCTGTAATTTGATCCTTTAAATTTTTAAATCATTCAATCATCATTAAATTCATTAGTTGCTCCGTAGATTAATTTTAATTTTAATGTTTTGAATGTTAAGGTACTGAATTTATTTACTAGAGTTGAATAAAAAAGGGGATCCATACATTTACCTCAATAGATATGACCGTCCATTAAAGGAAAGGGGAAAGAAGAATAAAGCTCCAAAAAAATCCAAAATCGAAATATGCTTCCTGGTGGTTTTTTCACCGTCTTTCAGTTATTAAATTTTTGGCTTCGGTTCTTTGATTAGTAAGATGGGCCTCGATTAATTCATGATGTTGAGTAAAGCTACATATGATAAAATGAATGTATTATATAAGCATATGTTATCATGTTACCATGTTATCAGCTTATGTTAGATTCAAATGTCGATTCAAAACAAGTTTCAAATACAGTCCATTTATAAGTAGCTTGACCAGAAATTTTCTCAAAAAATTTACGACTCAGGTTTGCGTCAATGCAATTAAATTAGAACCAAGAACAATTAAAATTAACTTAATTTTCTTTAGCATACGTTAGTGCCTCCATCTAGCGATTACATAATGTAATTTGATAATAACTTGATAGAGTTTCATTTTTCGTCCAATTAGGAGACATTAAAATAGCCCTTTCTCTGTTTTCCCCTTGTAATAGCCCCGTGATTGGTAAAGCAATCTAGAAAAATCTAGCAAGAGTTACCCCAAAATTATACCTATTACTCTTTGATACCTTGTGTTTAGTCTGACAAGCCAAATATTTCGAGATTTTTTGAACTAAAAGTGAACAAATATGGTTACAATTACTATGCCACCATGTTGCTTTTTTGCTTTTGTAGCAAGTTTAGTTTTTACTATTCTTTGTTTTGTTTTTTTCCATCAACACTTGAAAAAGAGTACAACATTGTGTTTCAACGTAAAACTGGATGTTACTAATAGAAAGGTTTCGCAGGTCTTAAAGGTTTGAACAACCCTCTAACTAATGTAAGTTTATTGTATTCCTTTTGTGTTTTTGATATGATAATATTGTATTTTTCATTCTTTTAAATCATTTTCTTGCAGTAACTAAGGACGCCAACAAACCAAATTATCGACGATATTTAAATTAAAGACCAAAAAGATTCAGTTGTTACCATAAGCATCAAAATTCGATGATCAAAGCCTTCAAAGAAATGCTAAAATTCACATCCTACCCCTTCCGTTGTATTTTCCAAATGGTTGACCCAAACCATTCTACTGGTTGTTCTAATTTTGACAAAGTTAAGCTGTAATACGTTTAAATACTCTAATACATTGATAAAAATTGCTATATATTCTTATATTATTGTCTTTTTTATTAATATTCATCATTTTTAAAATTCAAACTTGCCAGGCTCCTTAACAATTATCAACAAAATCCCGCGTAAACTTCAAAGCATGATACAAATACTTGGAACAGGCTATATGACCAGAAATTTTTGACTATTTATGGATGTTTACACATTGCTATTCTTTGCTTGCCTTATTTGAATCAACTGGCTACTCTTGATGCTACCGTCTGACCACATCACCAATAGATGAACTTTGTGTAATTCCTTACCTACAGTGAACATAGACACTTTAGTCATAGGTAACTAAAGAGGTTAAAATCACACTTTAATGCCTCAGCCTTAGTGTTTTACTATTAATACATTTCTGTTAGTTGCTAGTTTTCTTTACGGCTACTGTTATTGTTAGCTTTGAATTCAACATCTGTCCTGCTTATTAATTGTGATTATTATTGATTGTTGGTCTTTATACCGGTACAATCATCAGCAAGCAAGAAATACGAAAGTCACGCCACGGAAAAATTGAAGATTTAAATAAAGCAAAAATATTGTAAGATCATGTGTTGGTCAAAAATGAAAAAGATATCAGTTGATCACGTTAGCTAAATTTAAAACCTTCGAGTCACTGAAATAGATGCTGATAGACTGACAAAATATACAGTATTCAGAGCAGTTCACTGGTCAATTGCAATTGAAGAGGAAACGAGGCCTTTCCTAAGCATCTTAATCATATGAAACATATACTTATCTGATATTTCCTTCAAACACATTGTTCCAGCTCGCTGTCCAATCGACTAACGAGATTTCCCTCAAAGATTAATGTCTAAATAAAATAAATGCCTATTCAAGACATTATTTTTAAATCGACAAATGGTCAAACATTAAAATAAAATCATTGTTTTAATGTTATTATATCATCTACAGATGCATATCAACAGATTCAAAAACTTCTTAACTGTGCATAAATTTTCAATAAATATTATCTGAAAATACTTTCATCTGAATAATCTGGTGGTCATTTGAATACTACTTTCTCCAAGAGCTCTTCCTGACTTACTTGTAAAGAAATGAGCTGACATTTTATTAATTACAGTCAGACGATCACTATTTTTAACAATAACTAGTCCAAATAAGTGTGTTTAATTGATTAAAATGAACTCATCATTTCATTATACAATTATCTTTCAGAAAAGATCAAGTTTAGCTCTCGAGACAATGATGTTCAACCTTTACTGGTCAAGCGTTTAGGATAAATCGAGAGTGGCTTTTATCCATTAAAGCCAATCATGTTTACACAAAAATGTCTTTACTTAATTAATCTTATTTTACTTCAACAGATTCATCTCGTTGATCAGCCAGGTAAATGAGATTACATTTGCATAAATACAAGTCTAAATTTGCTTGAGCAGAGCTCATGAATATTCAGCTAATTGTCCCTGTCATCAATAGCTCATTATTTAGCTGAAGATGTTCCCTTAATCTCACAATGGTTTTTCATATTCAATTTTTCACGCCACTTTTAATTCTGACCAATTAATCATAATAGGAAGATTAAAATCGTGATTGAATGTCCGATTGGTGAGGTCCGATAGTGGTTAATTCATGTATTAATAATAACGGAGCTTTCAAGATTTACAGCCACAAATCGTGGTTAATAAATTTAGTTTGACCAAAGAAAAAACGATTTTAGTTGCCTTATTGAGCAAAATGGCAATAAATCAATTGAATTGTATAACAATTTTGTATACATTTTTGTTGCATCCTCATTCACAATGAAAGAATCAAATAAATTGTAATTATTTTTGGTTTAACTGGAAAATTTAAATATCTGAACCTTTGATTCCTATTTGAGTAAACAGTCAATGGAATCAAAAAGATTACAAATTAACAATTTAATGAAAGAACTGTTATAATCAATAATTAACTTGCATAAATATATTTACACTTATTTCGGGAAAATCAATTGACATTATAAATGCATAAAAAATGAATTTTTTTAGTAAAAATCATACAAAAGTGAAAAGGCAATTCAATTTGAATTGAACAAATCGATAATCAATTGATTATTAATCTTTTATTTGTTATTTAAATTAATTTTTTGCTACTCGCAAGAAAAAGATGGTTAATAAAATGTAAATTTTGATGATAAAATCAATCAGTGTTTCAATGGTTGGTCACAATTGAGTTTCATAAGACATAAAGATTCATTTGATTAAAAACAATTTCAAACGTTCATGAAGCTACAATATTATCATCAATATTATCGTTTACTGTTCACCATGTATGATGAAGATTACAATAATAAAGAAGATGGTAAATATGAAAAGGATGATGAGCAAAAACAAGAACAAGAAGTTGAGAGCGAAAGAGATGAAAAGAATCACTTTTTTTCTCATCTAAAAGGAGGGTTTGTTGTTATCATTATTCAGGCCAAATTTCAGCAACTAATATAGTCAAAATTTAGTGTATTGTGAGGAAATAAAGTGTTACATCTTCTGGTCATCTTCATCCTCCTCCTTTGCCTCCTGATCCGCCTTAAAAATCATCTTGAGCATCTTATTTTTCACTTAAGATAACATTCAACTTTCATCTTTAGTGACTTTTACTTATGAACATCAACAAAAACGGTTTCCATTCATTATCTTCTTCCTTTTTCACCGAGTTTCAAACCAATTACTTTTCCATCATTGAAGTATCCAAATTTCATTCGTCTTTAGCAAACTCGTAATCAAATTAGCCATGTTTCTACAGGCAACTTTAACTTTCTTTATATCCTTTGTGTCTTTAGTCCATTGTGTTTCTCATTCAATTAACCTGCCAAGTAAACGACCCTGGACTCCACTGCCAGTGTCTCACAGTCGACAAGTAAATCACCAGGCTTCTTCATCACCTTTGGTATTGCCTTCTTCGCCATCTTCAACCGTCTATTTGCCTGAGAAAAAATCATCAGATGTGACTTTTGAAACAAACGGCAAAACTTATTCCATTGAGAGTTCTCATTTTCCCACACCGATAATTGAACATCATCCAAATGGAGCCACGGTTGGACTTGATTTGCCAGACTCAAATATTCGATTATTGCTTGATATTGATCAACTCGGAGGTAAGCCAGTAGCTCAACATATTGGATTGAAGGTTGTTGAGAAAAATAAAAAGAAACAATCTCAACAATCAACTGATCACAAATCTGAAGCTGTTAAAATGAATCATCGACAAACTCTGACCAGCAGTTCAAACAGCTATGGCTCTTCGGCAGCATCAACATCGCAAAACCATCAGCCACAAAAAGGTTCATTGACTGCATCATCGTCACCTCAGTTAACAACGGTTAGTCGATCATCAAAAATTGTTTCAATTCCCATTTCAACCAATTACAAGATTGGCTATATACGAAGCAATGATCTTCATTCAGCCATTCATCACCAAATTGTCCATGGTAAAGGTGGTAATCAAGTTAGTGTTTTATCTGCCAATTATGCAAATCAACTTTTACATAACCATCATCGAGTTAATCCATCAACCTTCGAGTCAAATGTTTTAAATAAAGACAAATCAAATCAAGGAGGCTTTACCAGTCCAAGATTAGAGCAAGGCAGCTTTAAACCAATTGAGAGTTATTCAAATCAGATGAATAAATTTGATGGTCAAGTAAAGATCAATAACACAAATAGTTCAATAAAAAGGTTAAATATTGTATCAACAAGTAAAGTAGCTTTGAGTTCACCAGTCGCTGCTATTAAGAGTAAAGCTCGGATTAATGGACCTCGTGAGACTGAACAAATCAAGGAATCACTCCAACAGCAACAGGTCAATGATGAGCAAATCAATCAAAATGATTTCAATGAATCTGATATGCAAATTAAATTTGATGCACCAACCACTATTTCAACAAATTCAAGGAATCAACGATCACCAAAAAAGTTGGACAAATTTGAAGATGTAAGTGAACCAACATCAACACTGAACTCTGGTTCTTCCTTAGATACTTCCAATGACATTTCAAATGCAGATCAAGGTTTTGACAATGATGACGACGATGAAAACAATGGTGAGAGTGAAAACATAACCGAAGACTTTAATTCCCGTATTAATAATCATAAACAGGATGAAAACAAATCAGCATTCGATAGTGAAGTGATTGGTAAATTAACTTCAGTCACAAATCCACCAGTAAATATCAATTCAAAATTAATGCGAGGCTCGTTTAGCTGTGAAACAATTACTGAATCTTTCACTTCTTCAACTGATTCATCTCTCGATTCAATTGCTCGTTCCCTTGGAGCTGATATGCTATTAAACTTGATTCCAAGTTCCCAATCAATTTTACAAACCCTCATTGATGCATCAACCTCAGGTTATACATTGTTTTTACCAAGTAACGAAGCATTAGCCAAATTACCATCGACATTGATCAACCGTTGGAAATCGGATTCAACAGCTTTAAACACATTATGGTCCAGTCATTTTATAGATAGCCAGATAACATTGGAAAATCTTAAATCAATGAACGAAGTGTCACTGAAATCAGGTTCAAATCAGCTTCAATTTGGCATTTTCCGAAATGAAACTTATACAGTAAACGGTCAACCCATTTCAATTGGTAATCAAAGAGCACCAAATAACGGTATAATCCATGTTATTGAAGGTGTCCTTTACCCATCAGCTGATAAAGATATCATGACAACTTTAAAGGTTTGCAATAAATTTGACGGTTTTGTGACTCTTGCAATGGGAACTGGATTAGCATCAGTTTTGTCCAGAGGTAAGAACCATTTAAACTCTTTTCCTTTCGGTTCCTTTCAGTTCCGAAATCCATTGTTTCAAATCGATTTCCTTATTGGCCTTGACTTTCTCCATTGATCATTGTTGACGCTTAACCAGATCCAGGTTAGCCTCACATTTTTGGCCAGTCTAATCAATCAAATGGAAGCATAACAAAAAGTGAATAATAGAGATGACCAACATTAATCAAAAATCTGTCATACCAATTGTTGTTATCATATTATATACATTACATTAATATCGTCCTTAATTTTTGATTTTCCATTCTTGATTATTATCCTTTATTAGGTGGACCTTACACGGTTTTTGTTCCAAGCAATGAGGCTCTTCAAAAGATTCCTGAAAAAGATTTGCAACTTGTAAGAAGCAATATGACAGCTTTGAAAGGTAAGATTATTTCTTTCATCATATTTCAGGTTGGTGATTAACACACAACTTATACACTAATATAACAAAGAAAAAAATAGATTGATTAGCAATTACCTTTAACAATAATCCAATAGTAAAAGATTATACAAGAAGCTTTCTTTATCCTGTTCGTTAAAGCTTACTGACATTGTATAATTAAACAGACTCATAGACGTCAAAATAACATGATATTAGTAGGAGATGAATTGATCATCAATAGAAAGGAAAAGATGCTCAGTTTTAATGATGTTGATGTTTATTATTATTATAAGTATAATAATAATGTTTTATCAACATCATCACTTGTTGATTGACAGTTTTAACATTTTTTTCTCATTTTTCACATCATCCAACTTGCTGGAAAAGGTTTCCATTGATGGTTTCATTTTCAGATACAAATCATCACCATTATCATTCCCTTGTCACGTTCATGAGTCTGTTATAATCAGAAATGAAATGAAAATTAGTGAAATTAGACTTGATGAGAAGCTTTTTCTCTCTCTCTTCATATTTTTCATACTTACTCTTTATTTTTATCAAGGTGAGAATAATGATTATATTGGTTAATCGGATAATCATGATTCAACAAGTTTTCTCATCAATAGATTAAAGTGTTGATCTGATTCACGGCTTAAAACGCCAACATAAACAAGCTGATGAAAACATCAAAGTAGGAAAAAATTGTGATGTTAAGGTGAATGATGAGGATAAAATATACTTTAAGGAAAAAAATCTCTAGACGATTATCAGTAAAATAAAGCTTCTCACATCATGATTGATGTTGATTTGGTGTTATTATGGGTAAAGAGTTAAAATATCACCCAATTTTGACAATAATCTCAGCAATATTGCACGAAATGAACCAGATTTGGGTTTTATGACAAGAAAGACTAAACCTGGTTATATCGAGATTCAATTGATCATCATTTTCATCATTCATCATCTAAACATTGGCAATTTGATAGGGTTAAATAAATTATTTAAATGGTTACCTAAACATTTGATCATATAAAAGGTTTATCAAATGGGAAAATGTTAATTTGTAAAGTTAATCGAAAATTTACTTTTTACAATTAGATTGTTGATATAAATAGATTGTTTGGTAACTTTTAAGGCCCCTAAATATTAAATCTATCATTTGAGTTTCCATTGAAGATGATTTACCATTCATTGTCATTATTATGATTATTATTATTTCTTGTATCCTCTTCTCTATCATCAAAATTTCATTGTTATTATAATGGTTATCATTATTAATAGTTGATCTGATTACAGTTTATGTTCAGTAAATATTGAAATGTTTACTGGACTGTAAATTCATCTGTTACAAGTAGGTAGATCAAGTTGAATTGTTAGCATTTTCACAAATGAATTGAATTGTAAGGGTGGAAATTATTTTAATTTTTTGATTAACATTTCATCCTTTAACTCCTGACTGCAAGTAATCAACTTAAAATTAATTTTTAACTCTTTTTTTGTTTTTACTCATTAATATTGGGAAAGATTTTTTCCAATGTTATGAATTACATTTATACTGATGAATTATCATCAATGAAAACTCAATTTTACTGTAATTTGATTGTAGGCAGATTAATTTATATCTGTTCAAGTTCCAGCAAACGTTTGAATACTTTTTGTTGTTTTTCATTTCAAATGTTTGAGAAATGTTGATTAACAGTTGATTTGTCTGATTACATTAAATTTTCATCAAAATTACGTCTAATTTTGGCTTAGTTGGTCTTAAGGGTTGGCCAAGGAAACAAATATACAAACATTTAAATAATATCAGTTGAAATATTTGTAGTTGCAAATAATTAAGGATAAGAGGATAAAAGCTCAATAGGTTATTAAGCCTCATCGGGTAGATGATGATGAAAAAGATGATCTTCAATACAAAAGAATTGTAATTAAGGAGTTTCTTAAAATGTAATTAGGGAAATCATAACTACCATTAAAAATGATGCTTAATGTAAATTTAGCTTCAAGTTTGTATGAAGAAGCCTCTTGACTCAATCAAATGATTTGAAAATCAAAAGTTATCATGTTTTTATGCTTTCTCCTTTCAATGTTAATCCTGGTTTCTTGGTTAACTGGTTGACTATTGACTGTAATCGAGTACATTGACCAACAATGCCATTCTAATGTCCAGTTAATCTGAAAAGTAAACAAGAAAAGATTATTTAAACTGATATCAAAGGTTAACGATTGATCAATGAACAATCAGAATATATTATTTTACTCAATAAACATTTGTGACTGATAGTGTTTGACAAAATAAATGATTAAAATGGCGCAAAAAATAGCGTAACTTCAACTATTAATTTGATTCCAAAACAGTTATAAACAATTGAAGGGTAAAAATCAATTTATCTTCCTTTGTTATTCATCTAATTGATATGATTTTACTTGTTGAGGTCAGTTGTTAGACTAAATGATTGAATGATTTAAGAAATTAAACTGAAATCTATTTTAAGTCATGATCATTTGAAGGGTTTACTGAAACAGCAATTTAACAAGCTCACAAAAACATAAGATTACTTGAAACAATTTAACTCATCTTTAACCATTAACATTAATTCATTAGACTTTTTTATAACATCAGTTATCGGTCTTACAGTCAATGTATCATCTTAAATATTTACTGAATCTGTTGACTTCAATTGTTAGGTTTACCTATTTATTAATATCTTTTAGGTTGTTAATATTTTGGATTAGGTTGTTACCGGTAAAAATGAAGGTGAATGATGTTCAATGTGAATGATTGGCGTAACTAAAGATACAACATTAACTTCTAGGGAGGTTAATTTAATCACTATTTACAGAACAAAGTTGACCATTAACACATGGAGAAGTTGATTAATTTGAAAATTTATCAAAAAATCGTTACGGTTCAATCGGTACAATCATCAATTGACAGTTGGAGTTTAGTAAATCATCGAAGCTTCATATTGTCTAAATTTTTCAAAATCTTTGCAACCACCAACACTATCCGATTTTAACGTTTCAAGTTTTTCTTGACATAATTACCAGATTATTTAAATCATCCCAATTTATAGTGAGTAAATACAGGATAATAAAAGATTTTGAGTTTAAAATCTGTTCTTTAACAAGTCCAATCAACAATTATGGTGCACAAGTAACTGAAATAAGAAAAATAAGAACAAATCAGTGACTACAGTTAATGGTAATTTAGATGGTATTTACCTTACCAAAAGGGATTAAACATTCAACAGGTTGATATTTATGGCATTTTGATTTCATCCTTCAAAATAGATTAAATTTAATTCACTTGATTGTGGATTAGGGGTTGAGCTTTTCATTGTCTTCATCGCTGCTACCTCTATTAATACAGTGTACGTCCAAACCAATAGTACATCACTTTTGCTGATTGACCTACAGAAAGTGAGAAATAATAAAATGACAATTGATATGCAGGGCTCCGGATTCAGTTAAACAACGATTATCTGGTCACAAAAAGAGCGAATAAAACAGTTAATAGAATGATAATAAATTATTATGCGAAATTTAGTTCGCTTAATTTAAAAATAAGGTTCAGTTGTAATGAAAAATTTAAATTATGGACGGTGAATCAGTTGATTATAAGCCCGTAATTCAATGATTTTCAATAATAATTAGATGCGAAAGGATAAATTTTAGGTTACTTGTTTAGATTACAATTGAACTTGTGATTATGATGGTGATGATAAAGATAAAAAAAGGTCCACCATTTGTTTAAAGCGGTGCAAGGTTAGTGAGAATAACAATTCAATGTATAATCAGAAACAATTTAGGGTGAAATCGATGCCAATCCAAATAATCATGATTATCAATCTACCTTCACACTGAACTGAGCTTTTCAGATGAAAATTTCAGTGAAATAAGAAAGGATGAAGAAAAGGTCTTTTTAAGGTAAATAAAGCAATTGAATAATTTCCATTGTTACCATTCAACTGTTGAATTACTTTAAATATGATTATTGTTATTATAATAACGAAAGCTCATTGAATTACAATTACGGCCCTTAAATTGAATGTTATTACAATTTATTGATGGACAAGTTTTAACTTACGGTAAGAAGCAGTAAAATGGCGTATATTGACCAAGCTTTTGATGTAAACCGTTTTTCATCCCTTATTGTATTATACATAATATAATTGAAACACCAACATGTAAGAAGCAAAGTTTGACTCCAAATTAATTTGATTTAACAAAAATTAAATGCATAAAATGTTACCTTTAAAGGTTAGATCAATATTTTTAGTAGCAGATGAACATTCGTGAACAATCAATGTTGATCGTGAAAGACGATTCTTTTGAATCCATATTTTCCACTTGTTTAAATTGAATATATTAACAGCTCAAATTAAATTTTGCCAAATCCAGAAGCGTCCAAAGTTCAAGAATAAATCGTGCAATTTAATTTTCGCTAATAAAATGATACTTTTTTAGCTCTTTTCCTTTCAATAGATCAGGTAGCCCATTTTTCCCGAAAAATAGTTTCGGCAAAATCGAGTAAATGATTCACTGTCATGTTGGTAGTAGTGGCAGTAGGCCACTTCATGCAAATAGTCCATTCTTGATTGTTGTGAGAGTTGATATTCCCTTTACCACTATTGAATCCTTTTGTTTAAATTGAATATCCTCAAGTAAGAAACTTGTACAACTGAAGTGAAGTTGAAGAACTGTAAATTCCATTTCTTCTCTAAATCCTTTTTTAGATCTTTTTCCCATAATCCATCTACAATTCAATTCATGATTCAGTGTCATGTGATTGAGAGAGTTTGTTAAACAATCTAAAATGAAAAAAAAGTATAAAAAAGTGTTAGAATATATGAATTTCTAATTTAAGTGTGGGTCAGTTAGTAATTAGCCTTGAAGTGAATCAAATTAAATTAAATCCGGTTTGTTGTTAGGTTCATCAAAAAAGCAACTTACGGATGAGAATATGAAGAAACATACAATTTGAAATACTGTAAGTTGATTGTTGTTGAATAACAGTGTTTCCTATTAATATACATATTTGTTGAATCAAAACAAACCTTGATTACAATAAGTTGCAGTTTTGTGTGAGAAAGACAACTTCCGATAGTCCTGAGAAAAAGATGAGACAAATAACAATAGACAGCAAAAAAGTATGAAGATGGCAAGAAGAAAGGGGAAAACAATTAGAAATGAGATGGAGAGAAGAGGGGGAGAGAGAAGGTAGATGATGAAGGGACAATTGAAGATGGTTTTGAGTTATCATCAAAACTGTTATGACTTTCCAAATCACAGGATGTTACCCTGAAGGCAAACTATTTGTGTACCTAAAGGATGTAATTTAGTTAAAATGCAAGCGAAAGTCATTTCTCACCACAATTCATGTATAAGGCCAAGTAACGAGGACTGAATCACGAAATCAGTTGCTCTTGTCAAATATCCATTTCTGGACTATTATCGTGATTTAATACTGATCCGAGTTCATTATAAATCTGAACTAGTTGGATTTTAACGACTATTTTATTCTTCCGTCGCCAATTTCCTCATCAATTCATCTGATTAATTCACAATTTTGTAATTTATATTTACGATCTTTAAATACACTCAAAACTCTCAAAAGTTGCAAAGAGACTTTTGAACGTGACAGAAAGAACTCCTTTTTAAGCGATTTCTGGTGTCATTTGCGAACAATTGGTCCGTTACTGCAAGTTTTGAGATGTTTGAGTGTATAATACAATATTGTATTCAATTTCCTTGCACCATTTCGTGACTTTTTCTTGAAAGCGACCACATCCTATTTTTGGATTTTATCACAGAGTTGTCCATTTGTGGTTTCATTAGGGGCAGCCTCAGCGGGAAAGCGTTTCCAGTTAAATATGAGAACTTTGAACAGATAAAAATGGATGAAAAATAATTTCAGTTAATTAAAAACAATCTATTGAATCTTTATACTAACCGTGATACAAAAATAATAAATGAATTCTTTAATATTTCATTATTTGTTTCTTTATTGTGATCTCAACAGACATGCTGGCCTACCATGTTGTCCCTGGATTGTATTATAGTAGCCACTTGATGGACGGTCAATTTATCAATTCACTGCAATCATCACTTCCAATCAAGGTTGGGGTTAGAGTTGATCGCTGTTCAAGTAAGTAACCTGCTGGAGAGAAAGAGTAGTAAAATTGGATTACAAGTGTTATTTGATGAATTACTTTTTAAATGAAGCTACTTGCGTGTGTAACATTATTAATAGTTTTTCAGAAATACAGAAAAGAACTGGAATGAGGTTGATTCAAGTTTTAACTTTACCAATTGTTGTTAATACATATTTTGATCTCATTCCGACTTTCATAATAGGGCGCTTGGTGGAAGTTAACATGAGTCCAGTCTATGGAACAGATATACCAGCTTCAAATGGAGTCATCCACGTAATCGATTGGATTATCAAACCAAATGACAATGATTGGTGCGATGATGTAATATTTCCACGTTGAATAATTTCAATCCTTTTTTCGCCATTAATCTCTTGGTTCCAACTTGTCATCATTTTTCACAAAAAAATATCATTTTCACCATCGTCATCACCATCTCTATCATCAGTATTTTTACTACCTTTTTTTATTCCAAATTAGTCTCTTTTTTGACTTACATTTCTTTTATAAGAAATATTTCATATTTTTTCATTTTCGATTTGTCCAACCATTTTGTTCATTCTGGAATAGAAGGATGAAATAAAAAAAACAAAATTAAATTTAATTACGACAAAACAAAGCATGTTGTCAACTTACTTGATGATAACTCGGTTATAAACCAGTTTGATTCTTCCTCGTGTCACGAATGCCGTGTTTTGATACATAATGAACAAACAAATTACAATTAGTGGGCTAAATTTTTGCAACAGTTAATAAGCGAAAGTGGTGGTCAGTATGATGACGATCATCATTAAGATGACAGTGATAATAATAATACTCTAAAGCAGATAGAAGGAAAGAGGAGAGATTAGAAAAAGATGTTGACAAGAAAAATTTAGCAGAAAAAGAGGCAACATTTGAAAGGAAAAGCGGAAGAGGACACATGATTCAATAAATCTGTTATAAAATTAGAAGATTTAAATTGCTATCACAAGAGAACAAATAGCAGTACAATTAGCTTAAAACAATTGCGATTAAATTCAACATACCTGAGCTGAGTAAATAGTAATGACAATAACGAGTATAAAATGATCGCATGTTTGCTAGAAAATGGTCTCAATTAAGCAACGAGCCATTTCCTCATTTTCCTCATATTACTAATTAGTCTAACCATGTTAGTGTAGATTTATTTTACCATAGGCCATCACAGTTGGTCATTTGTTAATTAAAAATTGAAAATTGTCCTTTTAAGTTAAACGCTTACACTTACCCAATGTAGCTGGTTTATGGTCAATATCTTATGGGTTGTTCCAAGCCGTTAAATTTTAAATTGGTCACATCTAATTGCAAATTTGTTAATTAAGGCAGAATAAAATTTAACAAGATAATATAAAAAGTGAATGAAGAGCAATGTAAACAAGTAAACAATTAAATAAAAATCAGATTAGTCGAAAGACCGTTGGCTGTTAACAGAGTCTATAGAAAGAGACTTGACATTTTAAGCTTTTTTTTCTTTTCTATTCCAAGCAAGTTGAAAGCTTTTTTTTGAACCATATTAATCATTCAAAGTGGAGCGACCTATTGTATCAACTACATAAGCTTGTTAATTGAACAATTTTTCTTTCTTGTTTTGGTTACTGTTATTTTTTTTGTTTTTTCTTGTTATTGTTTCTGTTATTTTACCTTACTTTTCAGATTGCTGATCAACAAACACTGGTTATTCTTGTTGGAGTTTTCGCAGCTAAATTGAACCATCTCTTTTGATAATTCCTATGGATGAATCTAAACCAATATTGCCAAACTGGCCTTTCAAAGGTTCACCCATATCATCAACATCGTCTTCGTGTTCATCTACCTCAACTAAGCCAGTTTTACCAACTGAGCAAACTAAACTGCCCGTCAAACAGCGTGTTGTTTTTCCTAGTGATCGTACTAATACATCTTTTGGTACTTACAGTGACAATATAAACAACAACAAAAGCAACAAATTTTTCTCTAATAACTACAATAAGAACAAAAATAATGATGTTAAAGTTAAAAAACATGATCCTGATATCGATGATAAGCAAGAGTTAAGAGATGGCTGGGAATTTGACAGTCAACATTATCGTAATCCAAGTCCACCGATTGCTGAAAGAATCAGCAAACCCGAAAATTTCCAGAAGAGACGACAAGACTATTCTAACCGTTACAATGATAGACGGAATTATTCCAATAATAATCACCGGGGTAATGGTTTCAATAACTACGCTAATAGATCAAATCATAAGTCTAACGGCGATTATATACCGGATAAGAGACGAAGAAATGACTCTTTTGAAACTAATGATACCTTTGACATAGACTGGTCTGATTGTAATTCTACAACAACAAATAGGACATTCAACAAAGCAACGGCAGCTACACAGACATCTCCTAAAGTTCAACATCAAGCGACACAATCTAGCCAAGATTGTTACACAGCAAATCTTGGACCAAAGAAAACAACCAAGGATGCAATACTAATTGATAGCTGGGTTAGATCCCTGCTCGGTAATAACATATCATATAATCAAGATAATGGTCAATCAAATAAAAATATTTTCAGTGCTGATGCTGGTGTCAGAGGTGATTCAAATATTAAAAATGGCAATTCAAGTCGTGCTAACATTGATCCTGCAACAGAAGATTATTGGGCTGCTGAATTGAAAGATAAGGCCCAAGTCAGTTCTCCAAAAATGGACAAACCTTCAGTTTTTACTAGATTAGGAAAACCTACAGTTTGTGAATCAGACAACTTCACATCACCAGAAACACATTTCCAGACGGTAAAACAGCTTTACCCTGAAAAAAATCAGGCTGCTGTTATCAAACCATTATTTAATGATCCTCGCGTGAATCACAATTCAATGAAAACGCAGCTACCACAAGAGATTCCGCCATCTCATCAGCTTAAACAACCTCAAAAGTCTATGCCACCGCCAGTTATCTCCTCGCAATCGCAAAAGACAGCTGAGATTAATATAAGAGACCCGAGAATCAGAAAAAGACTCTGGGATGCAGTAACCAATGAGTCTTCGCTGCCTAAACGTCAAAACATTGAGACTCCATCGGACTCCATTCCATTAATTCCATTGATTCCTTTGGAACTTGTGGAAGAAGTTCATTCTTCGTGCCAAAAAACCAGTGACAAAAAACCATTAGTCATAGATTTATCATAATCTTTTTCAAAACCATCTCATACATTTTTGACTCTATTGAATAGCAATTTGTATAAAATATGCTATGAATATTGACTTTCCGATAGGATTGTTTAGTTTTGTTTTCAATACTGATAAGGCTTAAAATTCCGAAACTGAGACTAAACGAGTCGATCTCATCTTAAGTGCAATGATACTGTTAGAGAACTTTAAGTTATGGTTGCTTTTTTGCCAATCAATGCTTTTCTTGATAAGAATTTGAGTTTTCTTTTTTTGTAAGCATAAAAATTTTATCACAAATATGTGATAATATGAGTATATTAGTCGGTAACCTGTAAAAACTTGTAGCACTTTTGTTTTGATCATAAATTGAGTCAAATATTTACATTAAATACTTTGATATTCTCATTATTCTAAATATTTTTTTGTTTGTTAACACTTGCTCATCCACTTGTTAGTCTGATTTGTATTTTTCCCATTCAAGTCGATGAAAAAACTATGCCGCGAACCTTAAATCTATGATACTAAATGTATAAGCTGAAGTTTGATTGTTTAATCCATTTATGTAAATCTAATAATCGTTTGTCTAAATGGGAAATTTGTTTTTGTTTACCTCAGAATAATCATGTTAAAATATTAAATCCATTATTTAAGAACATTATTTTCGAAATTAGCGCTACTTTTGGCTTATTTCGAGGCGCACTTTTTAAATTTCTGTAACCATTGGTTACTGTTATTTTTTCTTGTTTGTTTCTTGTTTGTTTGATCTTGAGTAAATTCTGATAAACATTGTATTTATTGTTTTGTAATTTTGTATAAAAAGTCTTTTTTGATAGTCTCATCTGTAATGGACAGTAACGATTTTTCAACTGCTGGAACTAGTGATGGAAACTCATTTGCTTTCCGTTTTGATGCTAATGACCCATTTGATAGGTTAGTATTTTTGTGTCTTGCATCATTATTAAGGCTCGTTTTTGATAAATAAATTGTGTTTCATAGCTATAAGCATTAGTTTTTATTCACGTTACAAGTAGAAGCCTATTTTATGATTAATTTTTGCAAAAATACAAGAGGCTTAATCTAATTCCTTTCGTCCTGTTCTAATCAAACAAGCTGCATCTCTTTCGATAAATGTAAATCGAAGTATCTTGCAAGAATTATCTCTCCTTGATGCTAAATATTTAATTTCTGAAACATTATATTGATCGTCAGTTTTAATTCGTCTCTCGATTTGCAGGATACCATCCTTTCAAAGTACACCTCGATGGACCAATAAAATGGATCATGATATTTCAAAAGTTCGATCCAGATCTTTTGGCTCAAATCACAGTGATCGAGAAGAAAAAATGACCTCTTATGTTGTTGACATTGTCAATTTACTGGCTGAACATGTTTTATTTCATCCATTGGTTGTTATCAGACGACAATGTCAGGTAAATTATTTGTTGTCATTATTGGAATATCGGGATAAATTTTTGCTTTAATATACTCTCTTTGCTACAGGTTACTCGGGCTTCCTACCGTTACCATTTAACTCCATTTTCAGTGATACCTTTAATGTACAGAATCAGATCCAATCAAGGTTCTGGAGCCTTGTGGAAAGGACTAACGAGTAACTTAATTGTTAAGGGATTGTATCTATCGTGTCAGTCATTTATTGCTGGTGTGTTAGGTACTGACGAGTAAGTGTTAAAATATTATGCTACTTTATGTTGCAAATTCTGAACGGAATCCTTTTCTCGCTTGAGAGTAATAATTTGTTAATTCTTTGATCTATATCTAATCACTTGCTAACAATTCTATACGCTATTCAATATGTTTATGATTTTTCTTATCAATTTTTCTTTTTTTTGTTGACAGGAATCTCGTTTGTAGAGGAATCGCTTTCATTTTTGCTAGTCCATTTCTTTGCGCCAATTCAATTGAAATTGTACAGTCCACAATTGCTAGTGAAACTCCCGGCGTATTTGATTGTTTGAAAGAAGGCCTAGCCAGATTTACTCATTGGAATTCTACAGGAACACGACTATTACCTTTTTGGGTTCTTTGTATCCCAACAGCTGGTTACTATATTCTACACTATCAAATAAGTTCATGTATGATCGGGATATGTTGTGCTTTAGGCAAAACGAGAACGGATTCGAATTCTTACCGAGCTTCAATTTCAAGATTGATAGGATTATTTGCTGCTGATGTTATATTATATCCTCTTGACACTGTGATTCAAAGGTAAAGGACTATTTTTGTGCAATAGATCAAGCTCGATTCAAGCTTCAAAAATGCGCTAATTCGATATCATGTGCCCTTTTCTTGTATTCTGTAACCTTTCGATTATGCAAAATAATTAATGTATTTTTCTTTTCTCTTTTCTTAGACTTTATCTACAGGGAACTCGTACAATAATTGATAACATTGACACAGGCAACACTGTTTTACCTGTTATATCTGCATATGAAGGAGTGAAAGAATGTTTTCAGACAATCGTCAAGGAAGAAACTACATTGGGTCTATACAAAGGATTTGGAGCATTGGTATTGCAATTTTCCCTTCATTTCTTGTTATTGAATTTCACTCGTTCAATGTGTAAAAAGATTCTGGGCTAATTTAACTAGTTGACTTAACCATACAATGTACACTAGCTAAAAGTATTTAAAGCTTAATTAATTCAAACTAGAATTAAGTATTTCAAAATGTGATCGAAGACTGGCAATGGTTTCATTATTTCATCTAACTTGCAAAACTTGCATCAATCAATTTGTTTGATTTTCAAATGCTCACCTTTCATGTATATGCTTAGTCAGGTTTATTGAAACCAGACTCTATTCAACGTATTCATTAACCTATTGCTGACAAATGATTACATATATTTTATTTAAGATGTAATAAATTTCGAGATTTGGATATCAATTATAATATCATCATTTTCTTGTGTCTGTCAAATGTGATTTGATTTTAATGCTCAATTTGAAGGACATTTTTAAATTCAAGCGAATAGTAACATTCATTGTATTTATATATCGCTTTAACAATGATCTAAACATATAATCTATGGTCAAAAATATTAAAAAAAAGACATTATCGTCATCACAGCGATTACAAACCAATAAAAGTGATACAATAGCAACTTTGGCTTCAAGGTGGGAATATTTACAAAAATTGAGGAAATTCATACACTTATTGTATTTCGTTTACAATGATCACGATCACAACCTTCGTAAAATTATTGGTTAATACAATTTCTAAAACCATTATCGAAGTTGATCATCAATCGAATGTTCCTTGTGAATAACAGATTGGACTAAGATTGGTTGAACTTGATCGTTCTTAGCTTGTCCCAACTGTGATTAGCCTTAATTGGAGGCTTGTGTGAAAAAATTATTTATGAAACTCCATTCATTGTGAAACCTTTCAGCTTAGCTGATTCCTTTTTTTCGTAAAATTCAGATCGAACTCCCATGAAAGCACTTCCAATGCCATTTTTCTTTGATTTCCAATCTCTTTTAGTCTCTGGATTTTGAGGTCCCCAATCTTCTGTCGTTTGATAGCTACTCTTGATTCTCTGAAAAGATACGAAAATAAAAATAAATCAATTAGAGTTTGACGAAAACCGTAAATAAAACCATTAAAAACACCTTTATTACAACTTTATATTTGAACAGATCAATTGAAAGCTGGTGTTTGTATTGCGAGAAATTTAATGAACACATCATTTGACATACACACTTGAAGATATTGTTCCCTAATCAAATTTAATTAAAATTTGTCAAAAAGTTAGACACATTGACGATGATAATGAGTGATGTGTCTCTTCACTTTAGAGTAGATTTCAACCTTTTCATGTTAAGTCATGTGAATTATGTCATCTTATACTGAAACTACAAATCGAATCACATAACAAAAGAAAATAATTTCCTCAATCGACTTCTTAATAACATCAATCAATAAACTACCGAGTCTGATTTAATTCGAGCATTCAATGAGAACGAAGTAAATTGATAGCATTCAATCAATCCATTGTAATAATATTTCCATAGAACGCAATTTCTATTGAAACTTACCTCTAACAATCCTGAACTTCCATCTTGTTTAATAATACTGTAAATAGCCCAAATAGGTATTTGACCAAGTATGGTGAGTGTAACTCCCCAGCCAACGACATCGGCCCACCAAGGAAAATCATAATTACCAAGTTTCAAAGGTTTATGGGTTGCAAGTGAATATATAGCAATAAAGGATAGGACCAGGGGAGAAGTCCAGGTCCAAGTCAACTTCCAGTACAGGCCAACACGACGGCCAAGCATATATTGAATGTCGTAGGCAAAATTTTTGAATCCATAAATCCACATAACGGCAATACATTCAACAACAGCAATGTAGACCAAAGGTAAACCACTTCCATAATAGTCCAGAATCTCAAAGACATATTTACCACCGCGTGTAACACAAGTTAAACCAACGAGAAAGCAGAATGTACCAAGGCCAAAACAACATGCTAACCGGTGTTTTCGTACAAAATGAAATTCATCACATAAACTGGTAATAATACTTTCCAAAAGAGCAAACTGCAACAAAAAGTCAAAACAAGATTAATTCAAGGAAACAAAGAAACAAAGAAACAAAGAGTTAATGTTGATCTCATGGTTTAACATTTATGATTCATCTTCTCTTCCCACTAACAACTGTAAGTTAAACTAACAACCAATAGTTATTTTCATAGCGCATTGTTTAATTTTGCTTTTTTTAGCAACAAAAAATTGATTTATCAACACTGAAAGAATCAAAATAGATCTTTTACATCCTCAAGTTCATTGTCAACACATTGCATTGTATCCACCGTTTTATTTGATTATTTTTGAGATTCATTTCAAATCAATTTTGATTTGCTTTTTACTTTTATAAATCTAGCAAAATAAAGATATTAACAGAGAAAATTGCTGCGACTAATTGAATCAATTTACTTATTACTCCAGTACAATATTTAAATAACAAGAAGATGTTGAAAACCTTAAAGGCTCAACTCAATCAAAATCGGGTCATTTCGAGCCTCAGATTTCGTCATAAATTTCAACATAATTTCATTTATGAAAAGAGTAATTGTAAATTGAATTAGAAGCCAAAAAACATGAAACAGTCATTTGAAACTATTAAAAAATTAACATTAATGCTAACATCTCATCAACAAGCCTCATGATACAAGTTATTCAAAATTCAAGTTGATTCCAAATGAATTTGTCCTACACTTTTTTGTTCAAATACATATTAACACAGAAACTAACCTCAAAACAACTAAGCCTTACATCGACGTTAAAATGGTAAATCCAATGTCATACAATTTATGATAAAAAATGAGTATTTAACGCGCTTTTTACCAACCATTAACCACTTGTACCACTTGACTAATAAACCCACCCGAAGCCTTTAATCTATCAACACATCAATTGTTTTCAGGTATTAAATTGTGAAGTCATTTTCTTGTCAAAAATAAAAAATCTGACCATGTTTTAGTGAATTTGATCAAATAATGAAAAAATCATCACAATAACAATGATAATAATGAATGAAAGCAAATCTACTTTAACAATTCATTATGATACAAGATTGAGATAATCAAATAACAATTTACTTGTAGTCAGACAATGCAAGACAATTTCAACCTGACAAAGATTAAACATTTTTTGGTACTAAATTGAATTCAAATTGTACAATATTGTTAACTCTATGATTGGCAGTCCATCAATCCAAGTCATTTTTAATGATTGAATTGAACGATTGTTCAAGCTCACAATATTTATTTGAATGAAAAACTTGCACAGCTTTCGACCTACGCCCGAGTCAAAAAAAGGTTTAATTATAATTGTACAAAAGTAAAGTTAAACAACCCAATTTTGTGTTGGTTTGAGCATTGAAAAAGATTGAATCTTATTTTCAACTTACCTCTGAATCAAGACCCAGAATGAAAAGCATGGCAAAAAATGCCACTGACCATAATTCAGGAAATGGTAGACGGGAAAGTGCTTCTGGGTAAATGACAAAAGCTAAACCAGGACCAGATTGTACCACATCTTTAACTTCAATACCAAGTTCATGAGCCAAAGCACCGAGAACTGAAAAAATGACCAAACCAGCAATTATGCTTGTTGCCGTATCCAGAACACTGACCACTATAGCATCACTAAACAAGTAAAAGGTTAATGTAAAAAGGATCAAATGTTAATAGTCTTTCTTGACTATCAACCATTTTTAATAACTCTTATTGATCTTAATGAATGATTGATTGAATTGAATGGAACATTTTGATATTGACATTTAATCACTTGAAATTTGATACATTCAGTAATATATCATCTAGATTCACCTGAAAATGCATTTAAGTGCTTGAGATTTCAAGTTTTCAAGGATTTTCAGTCAAGGATTCAAGTTTATGAACAACTTACCGAAAAACGTTGTGCCTAAAACCATTGTAACTGCTGTACATAATTAACGCTCCCATTGAGACGCCAAGTGAAAAAAACATTTGACTTGCTGCTGCCAGCCAAACCTGTAAATAAATTGAAACAAGTCGTTGATTAATTTTATCGAGTTTTGTATCATTTTTGTTTTACATTCAACAACATTGCCAAAAGGGTTGCCCATAAGTAATCATCTTGGTTTTATGTAAATTATGAATGAATAGTGAAAGCAAAGGAAAGTGCAAAGAAAATTTTTTGCAAAAGAAAAAAGAAAGTTACCTGAATAGATAACAATTTATCCCATGAAGGTGTAATGAAATATTTAACTCCTTCCCATGCACCGGTTCGCGTAAATCCAACGAGTAAAAGTGAAAACAAAATGAAATAAGGAAAAGTGGCTGCAAAATAAACCACTTTACCACTCGTTTTAACCCCTTTAACTAAACACAAAACTGTGATTAACCAGCTAATTGCAAGGCACATTGCAAGATCCCATTTGATTCCACCAAGGTTTTCAATTGAATCAGTTGATTCCAAAACTTTATTCCTACAAGTATTAGAAATTAAAAGATGTGTAAAAAATGTATTAAAATTTCTGTTTAAAGTGGAACAGCTAAATACAAATTGTAAAAGGCGATCGAATAGATAACTTACTCCCAAAAAATTTCACTTGATGATTTGGATCCTTCCCTGAAAGTGACCTGGAAAAATTCCAACAAAAAGAAAATTAGTAAATTAGAAAAATTTTAAAATTAAATTGCCAAAACTCATAACTCATAATTTAGCCCAATAAGTCTTAGCCTTATCCCTATTAATTGTCCATTAAAAATTTTGCATCAATAATCGTCCTTTGATTTTTCCTTTTTTCATCAATTTTATAAATTTTCCTTATTTTTTGTCGAAATTCACTCAAATTTTCAACTTGAGAATTATTTTTACCTTTGAAAACGATTTTTAAAACAAAGTTTTGGACCAGAAAACATGTCTTTATAAAAGTCAATCACAGTCTATCGATGAAGTTTGTATTGCAACTCGAGTGATTGGAAAAGGTCAAAGACTTGTTATCTTTATGAATAAAAATGTAATTTAAACAATCGAGTAAACTCACGTTTTCTGATCGAACCTGACAGTTGGTTCCAGCAGCCCACTCGTGATCACAACTTGTCCAAGGTAGGCCATAACGGAAAACCGATCCAATAAAATAAAGAGCATAGGAAAGGACAACATTGTAAAAGATGCAAACACAAAGACAAACGGAAACCATTGCAGCACCAACACCTTTGGCAAGGGGACAACAAGACCAAATGGAAAGTGGACCTTTGGATACAAACTGGCCAATAGTCAGTTCCATAAAATACATTGGTTTACCTGCTAAGGTCAACATGATCAAGTAGGGAATAAGGAAAGCTCCGCCACCATTTTCATAAGCCAAGTAAGGGAAACGCCAAACATTACCAATACCAACCGATAGGCCAATACAGGAGAGTAAAAATTCCCACTTTGAGTCCCACCGAGCTCTGCCCGTTTCATTTGTCGGGTTTGAAGGGTCACTCTCCATTTTATCAGCAACCGAGTCACCATTTGTTAACCGTTTTAACTGACTTGATGGTTGTGCTTCTCGCACAGTCTCATCATTTGTAGTGCCATTATGATGCTGGTTAAAGTTGTTATTGTATTTTTCCAGTTTATCATTGCGTATAATTTTTCCCTGTCAACATGCAAAGATAGTAAAAAATGAGTTTAATTTTTTTGCTGAAAATCCAGAAACATCAAAAGGTCAACATTCTAAATTTTAATAGAGATACGCTCTGATTTCAATTAAAATCTCAATTTAATCATGATTGTTAATTGAACCAAAGATCATCTTTACTCGGGAAAAAAACATTTGTTTCCAAAACCATTTAGTATCTTCTCATCTAACCTGTTCATTTTAAATTGGTGTCAATTAACAAGTATGAGCTTTGAAACAATAAAGATGCAAACCTTTCCTTCGTTCAGGTTAATCAACTTACCTCAGTTTCATGCATTTTACCCGAATGATCATGTTCTTTGTGAAAATCATCAGAATCATTTTTCTTTCTGGTTCCTGTACAGAACTCACTCGAGACCAAAGTCATCTTTAATTAACCAATTAATTGTTTTCTTGCCAACAGACTTAAGTTAATAATCTTTTCCTTTATGTTGACCAATTAATTTTGCCAATCAAGCAAACTCCAAAGAGCAATTAACTTTACCAATTTATAACCTATTAATAATAATGAGAAGAAGGATAATCAATTTGTGTACAATATTGAAACAATTTATTTTGTCTAATGTTTAATCGAAATTATGTTTTGAATGATTTAAAATCAAATGGCACAATTGATCAACAGCTTTAATGACTTTTATAATCAACAGGAAATTTTTTGAATTAAAGTGAAACTTGAAAACATTGGATTCAATCAATTGAGATAACCTAATTACTCCAAGACTAATGAAAAACTGAATGAATAAATTGTTTGGACAAATTGTGTGTAAAAACAAAAGTTAACCTTTATAATCAAATGCAAAATTGAAATAAATTGTTAATAATGAATCATTATTAATGATAATCAATAGCTATAATTGATACTTAGCAAGGTTACCAGGTAAACCTGTTTACTATTGAATTTTAATGATAATTCATGTGAATTGAAAGGATTGAGTTTGCAGAAATTAAATTAACAAAAATGAGTGAAATCTACAGTAGGAAAATCAAGGACAATTAAAAGTGAAATTAAGCTGAAAGATGATTTAGTTATTACAATAATTAAAACAGAAATCATTTTGAAAAGTGAACAATGAACAAAAAATACAACAATAATCACGAGTTGGAGTGAAAACTCACGAAGTCAATCACCAAGAAAAGGTAAAGGTGTTGATCATCTTTCAAAAGCAAGAAATGTTTGAAATCGATTTTCAAACGATAGACAAAAAAGAGTTCAACTTACATGGATGTTTGCCAATGTGTTAAGTGAGGTTACGACTAATCAGGTTGATGTTAAAGATGAAATGGTATGACTTGTAAATGATGTTGATAATGTGATGGAAACAAAGCAAGTTTTAAAAATCGTAGCTTTTGACCAATAAATTGGACCGTTGTGTTGGAATAGATAAATAAATTGAAATTTGAATATTTTTCAAAGTTGAATGAGCAAAACAATGTATAAAATTTGTTGTAAAGAGTTGCAAAAATAAAATTGCTGTTGAAATTAAAAATTTGTGATGGTCAAACCCACTCTGGTCCAAAACTGGATAATTAAAAAACAGAGGAAAAAGAAAAATGTTCAACTTAATGTTCAACTATAAAGAGCTGATAACAATTAAGATGGTCCAGTTTAATGGCTTAACGCTTTGTAACTCAAGAAAACCATTAAAATGAAGCGAAATTGTGAACCAACATTGAGTCACGTGTTTAACGTTCAAAGCAAAAAATAGCGCCATCTAATGACTGAAAAAGATTAAGCAATTGAATACTTTTTCTCAATCGCAATCATCCTCGAATAGAACCAACATTCAAAAGACCAAAACTTACTTTCATGAGACAAAAACTCGAGTTGAAGAGTTACTCTATTCAGAACGTAGATTATTTCGTTTTCTGTGAGTTACTTACTTTCTGATGCATCGAGGAATATTAGTTGAAATGTTACAATCTCCTGTGATTTACAATCTTTAGGGCTAAACCATCAATCTGAATCTGGACGATAGATCACGAAATTCAATCAAAATTCATCGTAAAAACTAATGTTAACTCTTTAATTCGAAAGTTTTTTTTCTTGTGCAAGTTTTGCACATTTGAAAACCGGTTTTACTCTTTTGTAGAGAAGATCGACATGAGTATTTTCGTCGTATCGATATAAACCATATCGTTTACTTTATTCGAATATCCATTTATCGATAATTATCGATCAATTAATAAAATATTTTACGTGAATAACTTGATTAAATTAAGAAATTAATATGGCCGGGTGTGATTGAATTAGTTTAGTTTATCTTCATTTTTATTAACATACTCACGAACAGATTATGCGTTATATAATGAAAAATTGGTCCAAAACATTAGAGTCATGCCTTATTTCAATCGCTTTGTAAAAATTTTGAATTTTTTCACTCGCATTTCTCATGATTAAACCTTGTATTAACTCGCAAAGATGCGAGACTTAGAAGCCACCTACATGTTTCATATGCGAAACAATGATTATCTGAATCGTTGAAAACACTCTTGAGTTGAGTTGTTTGTTGATTAATAGAAGAGTTAAAAGACGAAAATTATGAACATCAATCAGTTTGAAGGAGATGTTTATTTGTATCTATCAAGTGTTTCAGACAAGATTAACAAATTGCATGTTTTACTTTTATTAATAGTTACAAAACTTAACTCCTACAAGGAATTTATTGATAGACATTGTGATATTTACAATAAAAACTGGAAAGAAGTGCAGAAAGTATGAACTTACAATAAACTTCAAGAATCCATGAATCTTGAATGGTGCTATTGATGAGCCTTGGATTATCAGTTTTACAAATGATATTAACATGATTGTCATCACGAGTTGGCATTAAAATTAAGGCACTTGTTGTTACAAGACCATCAGTTGAATAGCTTTCTCTGTGTTTATCAATAAAGAATGAGAAATTTCAAGTCAATCCCGATCAGTAGAATTGTTTATTAATCAATTGAAAAATTTGTATACCTTGAATGTACCATTAGTTTGTCCTCTTTGAGCCAAACTATTCGTGCTGGTGGTCGAGATCCGGTAGCGAGAAAGCAAATAGAGAGTAATGAAGAAAATTTTTCTTTCGATTTAAGAGTTTGGACTTTGTGGGTTTGTGGGTTTGCAGGGGCATAAAAACTTTAGTTTTTTAGTGCTATGAAAAAATTTCTCCGATCAACAGTTTTCGAGAGAATTGAGGTTAAATTGAAACTTCGATCGCCTTTTGTACAGTTATGTAATCAGATTTGTCTTCAATATCATTTTGCTGATGTAACTGTTGATGATCAACCAAAAAATGCACTTACAATTGTTAGGATAAATCAGGTTAAGATCAAATGTTTGGTGAAAGAATGATGCTTGGAATGAGAAGGGTGCCATTCTCGAAATATTGAGGCTAAAAGTTTTGTGGCCAATGTCCAAAATCAAGAGACCTGTCAATGAATTGAAAAAAGGCCCATAAACTATGTTCATTAAACATTTTTATCGACGAAAAATGAGTTTCAGATCTTTAACTCTTACGGTCACAGAATGCTCCAGGTTCAACGAGTGATAACTACAGCAAAATTTTTTTCGCAAATGAGTGTATTTTCTGGTTGATTATCAAAAGTTACACCAAGAAAATGATTTGTTGAATATTTTATGAAACGCAGGGTATGTGATCTAAAATTTTCAGTGAAAAGTCATTGGAATTAAAGATGGAGAAATGAAAATAAGAATTACCAGTTGCAGGGTCAACGTCTGTTATTAATCTGCCAATTTAAAGTGTTTGCAACATAACAGCAGAATAAGTCTCCGATTTTCTAAATTTTTCATTTATACGATTAATATGGTAGTTATCAGGATTGTAGTTGGACTGACTAAAGAGTTGTAGGTGCGAAGTAGATGAACATCCAGATGATGGATTCAAACCGGAGTTGAGAATCCATTGAAATATGTTCCAAAATGAACGTTTCTACGTTGAGTCTGGAAGGAAAGAAAAGAATTGCTTTCACGATTGAAAAGCACAACTTAACAAATTTTTCTCTCTTGAATTTTACGAAATTTAAAAGTAAAACTTTTTCAACGTTATCAAAAGATCAAAATCTTTAATTTTGTTGTAAAATTCTTCATTCATGAAAAAATCGGTAGTTCAGCCTTTTTTCATTTTGAAAATATTCAGAACTGATAAATTTGACTTTCAGCTTTCTAATGATACAAAAATTGGCCCAGTATTTTCGAATTTATTATCACTTGTGCCCCGTATTTGTGTTTGAATCATTTCATTGGAAAATCTGCGTTTTGCATTAAATTTCAGCTGTCTGCAGATTTCGAATTGATATTTACAATGCTCAAAGAACAAAAAATGTTAAGTTTCATCCAAGAGTTGCTTTTTTTGACCTCTATGGGTGTTATCGAAGAAATTTTCATGTATAAGAACATATTGCCATAGTATGGCCTGCAGCAGACCCAAAAGTGAACACTTCCACCCTGAAAATCTTGAAAATCGATAATTTTAGGCAAAAAATTAACAAGCTTTTTGTATTCCTCATCCTTGAATCTATTCTCGAAAAAGCAGTGATTTATTGAAGATGGAAAAGTGAAGATTTTTGGGTCCTCCCATAAATTACAGTCACATCAATATTATCACTAATATATTGTTTAGATTCTTTTAATTCAGAAAAAGTTTAATAATTAAGGATTCAACTAAATGAATTTAAAATATTCATACAATCATGAGGATCAAATAGGAATTTAAATGATTATTTTATATTTAAAGTATCGAAGTATTAAATTCATTGATCAGAAATCTCTACTTGTGTATTTTACTACCTTGATTTTGCTCTTTTGATAACTATTAACTAATATCTGGAGCATTGACAAAAGTTTTACTCATGTAAAGTATCTCTATTAAGATTTTAGAAGTTGTTCTTTCCAATTGTAAAAGCGAGAAATTGAACATTTTCTTACTCTTAGATTTGTTGAATATTGTAGGCTTCGACGTGGTAAAAGTTGATTTCGAGTTGACAGATCATTTAGAAAAATGGAATTTCCAATGTTAGACACTTGTTGGTAATGAGAGGCTCGAATCTCGGGATTGGATATGATTGGATACAGCTTTTCATCGGCAAAGTTGATTCCATAGCCTTGTGAACCGGAACGACTAAGATTATAACTTGAAAACATTTGATTGTTCGAAGGAATCAAATAATCGTTGAAATGGTTTGATCCTGAAATGCAAGGATCAGCAAAATTATCCTTCGATAATGGGACAACATCTGGATTAATTTGACCCGGAGTATACGCTTTTATACAATTGTTTTGATCAGTGATTTGATTTTCGTTTAGAGACTCATCCAAACTATTTAAAGACAGAAAGAGAGGAAAAATTACAAATGAAAACCACAGGACATTTCAGCTGATTTTTTCCATGTTTTCTTTGCCTTTTACGCATCTCATCAACAAATGAGCTGAAACGGTCTTTAAAATACAGAGCTAAAAAACTTCGTTAATATATTTTGCTCATTATCTCATGAACCAGACATGCTAGCTTACTCATATTGAACTGTACATTTTTGAGAAATGAGTAACTTTAATTCAACTCAATTAAGGTCATTAAAGGTTATTAGTTCATTTGATCTCTAAATAATTTCTCATCACTATTTTCGAAGAGCACAGTCTTTTTACATTATTTATAACTTTGAAAATCAACAATCTGTAGTAGAGGCGTTATTTGGACTCCAAACGACATTCGAAGTTCATTTTCTGAGAGTAAAAACTTTTTCTCCCAACCAATTGATTAACCATATTGAAACATTCATACCCTTTGGCTGACATGAGTTATGAAAATGTAACAAGCATCAACAAATCTGAAAAACTTTTCCTTATCAGAAAATGACATTCGAATGTCATTTAGAGGTCAAATAACGTAGTGACCTTGGACCTCTGTAGCGTGAATTGAGAATGCAAACAAGCGTTTATATGACAGAATGCAAAACACCAGTATATATCATCCAAGCATTCCAGCGTAAAGAAATAATTCTAAAGATACCTGTCTAGCTTCTCACAAACTTTAAGCTTTCACAAGAAACTAATGCGATCATGGCTGATCGCAAGTTTCTTTTAACCACCCATGCTAACCGTCTTTTCACGGTAATGTCCACCACCCATACTAATACATCCGCCAAATCAACTAAATCAAACATCACTTTTTTGTCCACCACTTTCATTAACCACTTTAGAGTGGCTTTATTCCACCACATTTTCAAACACTTTTTCTTATAAAATTATCCACCAAATTTTTGACCACTTTTTAAGATATGATGGCGATTAATAGTGGACATGCTAGCTGGTGTAAAAGTGGTCAAGATGGTGGTGGACAATTTTGTTGAGAAAAGTCTTTCAAAAAAGTGAAGTTTTAGTTGATTTGGCGGATGTATTGGATTGTGGTAGACAATATGGTGAAAAAAGCCTTTCTTTACTCTACTCAAATGACAAATTTTTACATAAATCCTGGTCCAACAATGAACCATCAACCTGAATAACAAAAAAGTTTTTCCCCCTTTTCCAATGTTATTGAATACGGATTCTACATTTTTTCCCCCAACCTCCATTTTCATGAATTTCTCAGAGATCTGAATTTTGAGGTGAGGTTTCCTATTTTTCGTGGATGTAGTTGAATTCGGGCTTTCATGCTGTGTAATTTTTTTTCTTAGAACCCGCTCAGTTTGGCCACAATCTTGACACAAAAATTTGATACATTGACTTTATATATTGTGTAGATAAGCATTCTTTTATTTGCAAAATATCGGCTTCTTGAATATGTTTTCTAGAGAGTGTTTCTAGATAGATTGAACAAATGAACTTAGAAAACCTTGAAACTTTGAGTTGATGGTCCTTCAATTATCAAAAGCGTACAGTTCAAATATTCAGAGATGTTCCGATATGATTGATCGAGCGAAAAGATCGATAATCGGAGAGAAAAATTTGATCCTGATCAATTTTAAAGGACATCCTCTGCTCGATATCAGAAGTTTGTTTTGATTAAAATTGTCTTTAAAAGTTATTTTTGTGTAAAAAATAGTGAAAAGAAGCTCAAATATCGAAAAATTCCAGATCGATATTTATCGCTAGTTTAAGAGATCCATCGACTTAGCAAAAAGATCGATCACCCCTGTGATCGAAAATCGTTCATCTCTAAAAATATGAGCAACCTGAAATATTTAACAAAACGTGAAGTAAACGAGGCTGAATAACATAGAACTATATAAAAAATCAACTTACACTTCTTTCAATTGATGAATAGTTGTATTTTTGAATTTGCGATGTTTTTTAATGCAAACACCAATTATGATGACGATGGTTATTAAAATTAAAGCTGATAACAAGCCCAATCTAACAGCCGACATTATTTCAGAATCAAGTATGTAAAGGTTGAAATTATCTATAATGAAAGATTATTTTATTAATTTCTATTTTATTTTCTTGCAAAAAAAATCAATTTTAATCGTTGAGAAATTGCCATTTTTTGCCACAAACATTTTTGATTGTTTACCGTTTTTGGATGAAACTGGTAAAGTTGATGTTACCAGGGAAATGGGTTTGCTTAACCCTTTTAAATTGGATGAATATAATATGAGGGTATAACTTGACTTTGGATTAAGGTCACTTATATTGAATATAACAGGTTCACTTGAGGTTGTAATATTTTGCAGCACTTGTTTCCGATTGTTCAACACTTGAAGATTAAAGTTCTGAGATGAGCCTCCATCGTAACCAGGTAAACATGAAACCTGTAATCGAGTCTCACTACGATTGGCTATTGTACAAGCTTGAGGAGGTTCAGGTGGACCTGCACGGATTTACAGAAATAGAAAAAAAATTCGAAACATTATTATTTTACTGTAATACAAATATATGCTAATCTTTGAAACGAAACGACTTTCTCTATTGATTTTCACTAAATATGTTGCTTGGAAAGGCCTCAAGTCTTCGTTGAATATTCAAGCTCACCTGAAGGTATTAAAGTGAAGAGGCAAGGCTCAATCTGTGATCCAATGGCGTTTCTTGACCAACATTCAAATATACCATAGTCTTCTTTGGATTTGACCTTATATTCAAGCCAACTAGTTAAACCTTCTGAAATGTACTTTAACCCCAGTGATTGATTATCATGCACAATGGAACCATTGAAAAGCCAATAAAAATCCACTCGATCGGGTGAAGCTTCAACTTGACATGGAATGGTAATCTTTTCACCAAGAGAAACACCATAAACATTTCGTTGATCCTTTTTACAAGCTGGTTGATCTGTTTTTTGTTGCAATCAAACGAAGAAAAAAGCAATTATAATTAGTCAGAATATTTTAAATCTAAAATTGCATGTTAAGTTACTTACAATGAACCTCTAAATGAAAGACATTGGAAATGTTTTCTCCTTCAATATTAATGGCTGAACATTGATATCGACCATGATCTCTCCGAATTGACCTTTCTATAACCAATGTAGTATTGACTTGTTTCATTCTTGCTGTAAGAGAATGAAAAAGTTTGTTCAATAAGCTTGTTCAAAAGTTTTGCTTGCTGTATATCCAAATAAAAACCAACACTACTCTTCTCAAAAAACTAAAAAAGTAGTTGAAGGTTTCGTTGCTGTGAAACACGATATTGAAAAACTTGGGACACCTGAGACACTTCCCTCGTTAGAAATAAAATTGCATAAATTTATTAATCAATTTACCGTGTTTAATCAAAGGTTGTCCATCTCGAAACCAACTGACCTTATGAACCATAGGATTCGCTGAAACATTGCAATCAAATTCAACTCGATCACCAACTTTGACTACGGCAGCTTTAGTTGCATTTCCCATTGATAAAATAACTCTGGGATCATCTTGAAATCAGAAAAAAGATTTTTATAAAATCTGTAACTCTTGTGAATACTCGAGAGTTTGGTAAAGATGCCTAAAGATGCCAAAACTAAATACAAATTTTCCTTCAAAATTATTTCTCCATCCAACTAACCATCAAATTTTGATTTTATCATCACTTGCAAATACGAAATTCCCTGTTTTTCAGTTTTATTATAGATTGATTCAGTTTAGATTTTAATGAATTTCAATAGTCAATGGATGAACTGATTCTCTTTTAAAGTATGATTCTTTTGGAACAATTTTCAAGATCAAGTTACGACAGTCAGCCTAGATTTACAGACACCATCCAATCGTTGAATAAAACTAACCTATGCGCAGAAATTCTTGGACAACTTGATCAAAACAATTTATTTATTGAACTAATAAAGTTAGAGACACAAATTTGGTTGCATTGGATAGAGAAAAGTTAGAGCTTTAATTTGTTATAATTTGAGTTATGATTTGATAATGAATTCACCTTTTATTTTACGGTTTTTCATTGGTCTCTAAAATATGGGGGGCCTAACTTTTTACGCATAATTTTAGTCTTATTTTTAATCCTATTAAATACCTATTTGGAATTTCGAGCCACAAAGCTACCAGCATAAACTTTAGGTTATATTTTATTCAGAAATGGCAAAATATTTTTGATTTTAGGAACCGTAAGAGGATTAGAGGACTTAAAAATTAACACCTCATTTAAGATCGAAATTTTTTTGGAAAATATAGCAACGCGCGAGTTTCAAAAATGCTTCATAAAATCTGAAATACTGTTCGCAAAATTCCAAAATTTATACTGGATATCAATTATGATTAGATGTTAGATTCCTGAAAATTTCAACCCTTTATCTCTGCCGGTTCCCGAAAAATTTGACTATCTTTCTGTCCAAGAATTTCTGCGCATAGGTTACACTTCTCACTGTTCACACGCCTCACTTCTCACTCAAAACACTCTAGAGTTGAGTTGTTTGCTGATGAATAGAAGAGTTGAAAGATGTTATGAACATCAATCAGTTTGCAGGAGATTTTTATTTGTATCTATCAAGTGCATCAGACAAGATTAACAAATTGCATGTTTTACTTTTATTAATAGTTACAAAACTTAACTCCTACAAGGAATTTATTGATAGACATTGTGATATTTACAATAAAAACTGGAAAGAAGTGCAGAAAGTATGAACTTACAATAAACTTCAAGAATCCATGAATCTTGAATGGTGCTATTGATGAGCCTTGGATTATCAGCTTTACAAATGATATTAACATGATTGTCATCACGAGTTGGCATTAAAATTAAGGCACTTGTTGTTACAAGACCATCAGTTGAATAGCTTTCTCTGTGTTTATCAATAAAGAATGAGAAATTTCAAGTCAATCCCGATTAGGAGAACTGTGTATAAATCAATTGAAAAATTTGCATACCTTGAATGTACCATTAGTTTGTCCTCTTTGAGCCAAACTATTCGTGCTGGTGGTCGAGATCCGGTAGCAAGGCAAGTAATTTCAATCTTACGACCAGCTGAAATTGGCTCTCGACTATTTGTAATTTCAACTGAACTCGGTTTAACTGTGATAGAAGGCAGAAAAGAGACTCGAATGATTAATTCATTTTCGTCAGTCGAAACCTTCGAAGTCAACTTACTATTTAAATCTAATATGAAAGCTATCGTTGGCCCAACAGTAATGTTATTATTGGAAGCTTTGCATGATAAAATTGAATTGAGCATTTTTCTATCAACACTTGGGATTGTTAAATGATTTTCAACCAAACTAATAGTAGAATCAGCAATGTGATAATCATCATCCAGTAGTTTCTCATTGAAATACCATATCAGAGACGGAGACGGTCGCCCTAGAACGCAATTTGTTAAAAAGAGTAAAAAGGCGACATTTTTTAGTTTTTTTATGCAATTTAAGTTGCGATTTAAGACTTACCTCCAGAAGATTGACAGACGAGATTAACGTTAGTATTTTCATTAAAAGACAATGTAGTATTAGGAATTATCTCTTTGCCATCATCATTATTATTGATTATGCTGATTTTTTCAGGAGGCACTGGATTGGAAAGTGAAAAATGAATTACAGGTTAAAATACAGTTCAGTCAGTTGAGTTCTCTCTGAATGTTGTATCAATTCAATTCTTGGGTTGTTTGCAGAGTTTTCAACTTGGCCTCAGATATAATCACTGAATGAAATACAATTCAAATTCAGAGAAACTAGCTCGATATTTATAAGTGACTTACTTATATTCCCTACCCCGAACATTGTAGATTAATCACTTATCGATTAAAGATTCGGAAATTTTTTAAAAGCCAATGACTGAGGAGGTTACCTACCACATTGAGGCTCACAGTGACATCGTACTTATAAAAAACACTATTTATAAGCTTGTAAGTTGGATGTGAGTATTCGCATAGTCACGAAATGACCTTTACCAGGATTTAAGATGTGACTACGTTATAATTGAATAAAATGTTCAGTTTTAGGTTTATTTTTATCAAATTAGATTTCAAATAATCTATTTAAATTTTCTTGAGTTATTCCAGTTTGAAGTAAGCGTTCATTTATTTGATTTACTCGGCCTTAAAACATGCATTTGATTTGAAAATGCTCTTAATTGTTTATATTTCGGAAAATGAAAGCGGACTAGGTTCCAATCATTGTTTCCTACTTTTGTTGAATAATTATTGGTGAAATCGAATAACCTGGCGATAGTTATTCAGTAAAATTAATTTTCACTATTTTAATGCAGTTAAAAAAGACGAGTTAAGATAATTAAGGGGCAATCCGATCAACAAGAAATGAAGTTGAAAATTCGGAAAAATGTTACTATCTAGCAACTATCTTCAACATTCATCAACCTAGTATCCAAATTTACGAGCAATTTATTTTGCATCGATTTGGCATTGTAATGCTGTATTTTTGTTTTCAATATTTTGTTCCTAAATTGCCGAAAATTAATGATGAGTTATAATAAATTACCATAACATTTATAAAAACACTTCACTTTTTATTATTGAGATTATTAATAAAGACAACTAGTTAAAATCACATAAAGTTAGCATATTGATAATTAATATGAAGAGAAAAGATAATTGTACCAACCGCAAATGAGTTTTTCAGTAATAATTCAAATGTATTTCAGTTTTAATAAAAGGACGAGTTATTAATCTATATACCATTAACTCGATTAACACCATATCGATAACTCAAAAGAGTTATCGATATATTGTTTTTCTCCAATTTATCGATAAATATCGATATATTGTTTTTCTCCAATTTATCGATAAATATCGATATTTTATTGTTATCGTCCAACTCTAGTTTATATCCAAGATTTAGTCTGACTTCTTCTGTCGAAAGCGAGCTTTAACTTTGCACTTGAGAGGTTAATTAGCAATCACAACCACTTCAGTGGCCAATATCTTTAGATAATTAGTGTTGTCAAACACTGACCACTTCAGCGGCCAATTATTATCTCATCAGATAATCTCATCACAATATGTATGAGTCACATCATGTATGTATGGATGTATAGATTATTATTGCTTTTGTTCAAATAATCAAAGCTGTAATACCTCTTATCAACATATAAATGATTCTACAGACTTTCTCATACTTTCGATGAGAACTTGAAGAAAATTTGCAATCATTTCTTCAGATAATACATTTATTATTAAATCAGACTAAAAACCAATACAAAGTTTTACAAACTAATTGATTCTAATGATACAAATCGGAATAAACAAGAATTAAACAAATCAAAACATTGATTTTTATTCAAATTAAAGGAATCGGGCGTTGGTATTGTAGAACTATTACCTCTACAACAATATTGGCAATAATTATCGGAATCATTCTGACTACCTAAACACTCATCGATGGCTTCTTTTAACCAAAGAGCTTCTGCACTGAATTCTGGTAGATATTCTAATGGAAAATCGGGATTTTTCGAAATCTCATCAATTAGTTGTAATGTTTCTTCAGTTCCTGATGGAATAATTACTTTGTTTTCAGCATTCAGATACACCTGTGGTTTTATTATCGACGGCAATGAAGATGCTGAAGTTGAAGCTGAAGCTAAAGAAGAAGAAGCCAAAGGTGGAAAAGAAATAGCCAAATAGGAAGAAGAAGAAGAAGCCAAAGGTGAAAAAGAAGAAGTCAAAGGGGAAGACCAAGAAGTTGAAGCTGAAGCTAAAGAAGAAGCCAAAGGGGAAGAAGAAGAAGTTGAAGATCAAGATGAAGAAGTTGAAAATGATCTAGATAAAGATGAATATAGTTTTACAAACTCTTCTTTTGATGACAGAACAACAGGAAGGGGCTTATACCAAAACTTTTTGAATAAAATTTCTTCTCTTTTTCTTTCTTATTTCATTCTACAGTTGTAGACACGAACTTTACCCAACTTTTTTGGTATATTAACAAATTTTCTTTCAACTTTTAATAGATGATTAGTACTTTCAATAGAGACTATTTAACAACGGTGACTGAATTATTTGGAGAGCATCTAATTCTTAAATACAATAGATTAGCAATTCGGGTCATCTTTTTCATCTGTCTTTCTGTGCAACTTTCCATGCAATTAAATGTTATGATAAAAGCAACAATCCAGAGCACAATTGATGTAATGAAGATGAATCCCACACATGGCTCTGGTAGTTATTTAGAATTCTCTCATGATTTCAATAAAAATTTTAACTAAATTAATTGTAATTATATGGCTAAACATACTACAATATGAAAATAAAACTTGATTAAAAATAAGTTAAAAGTTTACCATGTTAAGCTATGGGTAAAAAGAAAGAGAAAAGAAAGAGAAAAACAAGAGAAAAAGCAAGAGATGAAAGAGAAAAAGAAAGAGAAAAGAAAGAGAAAAGCAAAGAGAAAAACAAGAGAAAAAGAAAGAGAGAAGAAAGAGAAAAAGAAAGAGAAATAAGTAAGCTTAACTAAGTTAAAAGTTTAATATGTCAAGCTATGAGGAAAAAGAAAGAGAAAAGAAAAGGAAATAAGTTCGATAAACTTATTTGAAAGTTTCCCATGTTAAGCTATGGTTGGGAAAAGAAAGAGAAAAGAAAGAGAAAAGAAAGAGAAAAAAAGGGTAATGTTCTTTTTAATAATGGTTAAAGTCTATGGGAAAAGGTGTTATATGTAATTAATTAACTCAATTGAAAACACAATCGAAAGTATTAAATTCAATTATTGATTGACAAATTCCGCGTTAATTATATTTCCGCATACAAATTTCCTTATTATGAATTAGTATAAATAACAATTATACCTCTAGTAAAATTCATTATTGAATTACAAGTTGTCTACAATTGTTTATTTTTTCCTAATTACAAAGTTTCTACTTGTTTACTTTGCAAAATGCCTGAAAACCTTGCTTCAATTAAAAAGTACAACAAAAAATGATGCCAGAGAAAAAGAGAGAAAAGGAATTGTTCGAAAAGTATGGCTGTAAGCTTCTGAGAGTAGTTCTGCCTTGGCTGAGGAATTCAAAAAAGATAGACTAGGTCACCGATCCTGATGTGTTCACTGCTGATGCTAGTGTTACTTTTGAAAATGACGTCGTTTTCATGGAGGAATTGAGCAATTTGGTTGGTCCTCAGCCGCAGCAAGAACCTCCGATCGTCAACGATATCAATAATTGTGTCCAAAGCGGAACCCAAATAATTTACAATGTTGAAATTACTTGTAATTGTGGCCACAAAAATGGCTTTAAATTAACATTTGAGCCTAATCATTAATGTGCAAATTATTGATTAAAACTTGATTGGATGAAAAACATTGAAGTTTGTTTGAGTGTACATTGAATTTTTCATTATACGTGAAACGCGTGGGAAAATTGTTAATGATAAATTGTCTTTCGTTAAATGGCCTCACTGGCCCATTTTGTGCCAGAAAGGACATTTTATTACTACTCATATAAATAAATATGATTTCACTCGCTTTGATGCTGAGGTGAATTCGAATCAAATCAAATGTTACGAAAAAAGAAAATCAATTTGGATAAATGTTTACACGTTTGTGCACATGAGAATGACACCAGCTTGTCGCTCTTTTTGTGAGTGAATAATTAATCTGCTAAATAAATATTCGGAAAAAAATAAAAAATCCTTGAGCTATATTGCTGGTAATAAGGTATAATAATGATCATGTTTTGCTGAATGAAATTAAAATGCTCCACGAGCCAACTTTGAAAAAGTAAATTTGCGTTTACCCTTGAAGATGTTGATGATGCTATTTAGATGATAATTCTTTTAAATATGTCAGATTGACTTTTGAAATTAAAACATTGTTTGTGAACGTGATTCGAACTTATGTTCAAAGCAAATCGTCCTTCAACGCGGAAGTATATAAACTGAATGATTCTGAATCAATTTTTCATTCCAATTCAGTTCTTAACTCATCACTTTCATGCGTTAATTTCATCTTATATACTAGTATTACATTGAATCAACTGTGCTCAACTTACAAACCCCTTACTTTGACTTTGAGTTTTCTTTAACAATTTAAGGTGAGTTTTTCTCCTTGACTACAGTTCATCTTTTTGTTACATGTTTTGCATTGCTTTTGATGAAATTTTTGTGTCTTTTCAGATTCGTTCTAAATTTAGATCACCAGATTTCCCTCTCACCGCCTTTGACTGTATCACTACGCTTTTCAGATTCCTTTCAGAACAAAATGAAGAATAACAAATTGCAAGCTTACTTTAAGTTTGAGTTATATACTTCCGCGTTGAAGGACGATTTGTTTTGAACATAAGTTCGAATCAACATGGGACATTTAAATCACGATCCAATCAGTTTAATCTTTTAAAATTAAGTCTAATAAATACAATGGTAATTTGATTATTGTTAATTACTAATCGATCTCCGAATAATCATTAATTTAATATTAAAAACAATTAAACTTAAATGTTCACCTGTTTGTGATTTATTATAAATTTTACCATTGATTAGCGAATGTTTGTGTTTTCAAGTCTAGCCTTAGTCCGTAAAATCCCACTCTTACCACAAAAATTTTAAAAATAATGGGACCTAATTGAATCGCGACCTTAAATTTCCAAGATGCAATTTCTTAACGCGATTTGAAATTTATCTAATCAATCCAATTCAATGTTTAATATGCTCATCAGATTGAACTTGTGACTTGTTTTTTATTGTCCATTCATTTTGAGCACAATTTCTAGTCAGAGAGGATGATTCATTTTTTACGTTTTTCATTCTGAAAAAATGAGTTTCGATCGACTTCTAGAAACTCCGGATATTAGACCATTAGATTCAGTTTTCTTAAAAAATATCTTTCAACTTGAAGCTCAACTTCTTCAACATTAATTCAAATGTTTGTCCTTTTATTCACATAACCACTTTAAACAATTGGACCCTCTTTTTCACATTCAATTGTGTTCATATGATTGCAAGTAGTCGATAGAAATATTGAGATTCGACTTTTGAAAGCCATTTGCGGTTATTGACAGGTTTAAAGAAATAACTTTTGCATTAATATTATTGAAGCAAATTGTATTTGAAATATTCAGTGATCATTAACAGTTTACAGATTGTTAACCATGTCCAGTTTTTTGGTACAATTGAAGGAGTTTTGAGTAAAAAATAAGTCTTTTAGAAGTGTTGCGGATTTTCAATTCAAAGAAATGATTGCAAATTTTCTTCAAAATCTCATCGAAAGTATGAGAAAGTCTGTAGAATCATTTATATGTTGATATGAGGTATTACAGCTTTGATTATTTGAACAAAGGCAATAATAATCTATACATCCATACATACATGATGTGACTCATACATATTGTGATGAGATTATCTGCTGTGATAATAATTGGCCACTGAAGTGGTCAGTGTTTGACAACACTAATTATCTAAAGATATTGGCCACTGAAGTGGTTGAGTAATCGAGAAACCAAGAACCAATAGACAGCAACTTAACGTCTATCTCAGGTTCGGCTCGCTCTCCAGCTTGTTCATCGTTAACCTCTTCATGGTCCTCTTCCTCTTCAGGTTTGTCTTCCTCAGTTTCTTCTTACTCAGATTTGTCTTACTCATCAGTTTCGTTTACACTATCGTTCATTCAAGAACCTTATCCTCTAATCAATTTGGATTATCAGGAGAAATTAATAATTCCTCAGAGCAATAAGGAAGCTTTCCAACTTTTTGATTTAATCGTAAAATATGATGATTGCCCCATTGAAGTTCTACCTGAAATACGGGAAGAGGACGACTGGATTAACGATATGTTTGATAATATTATGACAAAGCACAGTGTACCAATAATGGTGGATGATGAGAAATTTAAAACAATCTTACAATGTTACAATCTATCTTGTTAGATGATTTGTTTGCAACTTAATATACTCAATAAAATGAAACAATTTCTTAATCAATTTTGTTTATTTAAAAAACGCGGGCTAAAGTGGTGCAGATTTATGACTCTGCCATAGCTTCAAAAAAAATCAAACCAATCTAGTACAATTTCTTCGGCGTTTGCGCAAGTTGAACGATTTAGAGGAAAAAGTTCGCTTTGATTCAAGGTTCTGACTGTTGATACAGTAAGCTGAATTCGGGTTCTTGAGAATTATATTCAAATTAAAACTATTTTATCTTTCTTAGCTGCTTTCATTAAATTTACTGACAAAGATATCTGCAAAGGTAATGCTTAGCTCAATTAGAGATGCAAGGAGAAATAGATTACAACCAAATATGTAAGAATGCCAACAAAGCCCACAAAGCACATTAGGTCATTTGCTTATGACTCGGTCAGGACACCAACTGAAATTCACTATTTCAAGATAACTTAATTTTATTAAATCATCTAAAATGAAAACTTGAACAAAACTTTTCAGTATACTGTTTTGAGATGAAAATCTTTCGTCCTTGTTTTTTGTCCAGAATACGATTAAACGATTGCAATACCTGCAGATGTCTATGCATAAATTATTGATGTACTTATTTTTTAGTAACAATGCTCCAATGCTTACATATCATAAACCTTGTTACATATTGATGATTCAATCTTATCTAGTGAATAGTAATTAACAAAATTGTATGCTTCATCCTTGGTTGATTCTTGTATAAATACTGTTTACGATTGAAATAACTAACGTTAATCATCAGTTCATGTTCAACATTCAATTTTTGTTAACATTGTGAATCAATGATAGTTTCTTTTTGATAAAAATATGAAATTTCTCTAGTTATCTCAACCTTTACTTCGTCGTATTCTTCCTGTCTTTTAACTTTTAGTTAAGTTGCTGTCTATTGGTTCTTGGTTTCTCGATTACTCAACACGGTACTATGACTCTGGCACAATGTGCTGGAGCCAGCAATTTTATACTAATACTACTCTTGCCATTACGATAATATTTTTCTTATTTCAGCAGTAAATTCATTGTCTGAGCTCGGATTTTCCACTCAACTTGTGTGGTTAGCTTTTGTAATGAAAATCATGTAAAGTCTGCTCACAAATTTTTCATGTTTTTTAGTATAACTACGCTTGCATAGGAGTCAGTGGTTAATATTAATACCAGGAGAGGTGATGAGCTGAGGCTCAAGTCACTATTTGAAAACAGATCATGAGATAATTGATTAACTGTTTGTTGCAATGAAATTATTTTGATTCTTACCAATTACAAAAAGGTTTACATTTGTTACTTGAGTTCGCCCTCTTCTGAAATCGACTCGGCACTTGTAATTACCATTATCTTCATTGATAACTGGATCAATAGTCAACAGTGAACCACGGACGGATGATTTGTTGAATTGAAAAGTTGCTCTATTACCTAAAAGTTGATGAGTAAAAACTTGTGGCCCAGTAAAGTCAAGGTTAGTACGTGAATCCATAGTATAAATGGGTTGACCTCCAGTTCCCTCCTTATACCAAAGTATCAGAGTAACTGAATCATCTTCAATTGTATTCGTAACATTACAGGGAAGTGAAACGCTTCCACCAACAACAACTTTAATTTCAATCATTATTGGATCACCTAATTGAACAAATAAAAACATGAACAAATGAAATTACAATTTACTCAAATAATCTCAACAAATGACAAAACAAGTGACAAAAATGAACTGAAAAGTAAATGATTGATGACATTGGATGTTACACATAACCAAATGATAAAATGCATTCATTCACAGTAAATTACCATTCAAATGTAATTAATAACCAACAATGTTAATACAACAATTAATCATTTGGGAAAAAAAGTTGCCTAAATTGTCTTAAAATTGTCTAATTAACATTCAATATTTCAAAGTTGATCAACATGAAACTAAATGTAGCTTTAATGGAAACAGAAAAAAAGCCTAAAGAAGCAAAAATTAAATCAATATCTTGACTGTTTCAGAGTCAATTATGCTAATGCTAATGAATGAAGAAAAGTTCATGAAATAGAATTGAAAAAAATGGAAAAGTTAATCAAAATTAATCAGCTCAAAATGGAGAAAAAATTGAAACAGAATAATTTGAGTTTAAAAAATAAGCTTTGAAATAAGTTGAATAATAAAAAGGTAAAGTTGAACTTGAATGAAACTCAACAATGAATAATTGGCAATCATGATAAACATGATTAAACTAAACATTTCCAAACCAAATGTGAACCAAAAATGTTCTGAAAATGAAGGAACAAGGATTAATATCGTATAAAGATGAAACTTGATGGACATGAAATTATGAACCAATGTTCAATTCCCATGATGAACCAGAACCAAACAAGCAAAAAGCTAGACTTACAAGTAAAACTAAAGTGGACTTTTATACATCAATATAACATTACATTTTATTGTCATTTTTGTTTCTCATATTCAATAGTTATGTTTGACTTGGCATAAAATGAAACAAAGTAAGTCCATTGAGAAATGATCGTTTAAATTTACTTTAAATAACATTTTTCTTGTCCAAAAATAATACAATAATGATAGCAATCATCTGACTATTAAATATGAAATTCATCTGCCAAAAATGTGGTCAATAGAGCATTGAAAAGTTGTAAATTGTAGAGAAAAGGAAAAATGTTACTTTTTTTGCTGCAAAAAAGACTCGTCATTGGACTAAATCAGGAAAGTCATTATTATCGTTCTTGAACCATTTACCATTGTAATAAACAATGGAATAATGATGAGAATCTTTTTTTTTCCTCTTCTCCTTCCCTGAAAAAGTTTATCATTTTACAATTTTTTGCTTCAAATTTAGAAATGAAATTGAAATGAATAAGCTTGATAACTGTTATCGCTGTTGCTGCCCTTTTCACACACCAAAAGTCATTATTTTTGCTTCCAAAGAGTTGATTATTTTGTTATCATCCATTGTTTGCCGTCATTTCATGGACATAAAGGTTTACCTTGATAACTAAATTTTCAACCAGAATTGGCAGAGAAGAGAAGTGAAAAGAAATAATTGCAAGTTATTGCTGAAAGGTGAATACAAAAGTGAATGTTGGTGAAAAAAACCTATTTTTCCACTTCAGAATATTTTTTGCCATTTCAATGATTTTTTTACCATTATTGTTGAACATCATTTTGATATCAAAATATTTGGAAATTTAAACTGTTTCAAGAGAAGAAAAGATTCAAAATTTCAAGTTCAATGAAACTTGCAAGTCTTTCAACTTTACAGAACATAAATTTTCCAGAATTTCGAGATTCAATTCGTCAAATTTTATTTATACTTATTCATCAATTTGCTTAATGAAAATAATCTTGAATTATGCTAATGGATTCACTGTATTTCAATATTTAATGAAACAAAAAATAAACTCATCTTTAACATTTTTTGTGTTTAATGTTGAAATGAAAATGAATTAACAAGCAAATCTTTGGTCTTTACTTTTACTTGTTTAACATTGATATAGTCGAGTATTTTCGAGTGAATTATTGAACGTAAAAGTCATCGAATTAACAAGTGACATTTACGGTGTAAGGCAAAGTCTCATTGTAATCCATTTAATTAAAGATTAGTTTCACCTTTAGCTTTTCTTCATCCAATTCATCATCAACTTGATATTAAAAAATGAATGAATTTACCAACAAAAAACTTACCTTCAATAAGACCAAAAACAAGTGATACAAGACTAAACCAATTGACAATACTTAAGACATTTTCTGGTAAATCAATTTTCATCTTTTACTTTGCTTTGTTTCCAGTTTTTATTTTGCATCAACTTTAACTTTTTTCAAACCAATTCTAGTTTGATTGATTGTCAACTTTTCCAGACTCTAGACAGATTAAATATGAATACCTGGAAAGTGGTTAAAGCGTTTATTCAGATATTCCAATAAATCGAAAGTAGAAGGATGAAAAAAACGAAGAAAAAAATTAGTCCATCAATCAAGCTCAAGTGTCGACATGAATGAAAACAAAATTTACTCAGTTTTTGATTATTCACAGTGCAAGGTACAGGTAAAGCTCTGGAAAAGTTCAACTACTGATGCAGTTTTAATGAGACTATTAAGTTATCAGAGTACATCAAACCACAGCGATTGAACTGTTGACCATTTAAACTGTGAAAATGTAACAATCGAGTTGACTTTGTCTAATAATTTTTTCATGGAATAATCAAGTTGAAAGTAAACGAGTTTTACATTGGAAGGGAGTAACGACTGGGAGTGAAAACTGGGAATGAAACTTACCTTGATTTCATTCCCGATTCGTGTATAAAAAATTTGATTGAATTGCAGCTTTCGATTTGGATCACATTTTTGATTAATCAGTTTCCATTGATAACCTGGAAAAGTGGGAAAACAAAAGCACATTAATTTTGAATCAACATGTTAATGGAACAATTTATTTCTTTTTTGTTCGCTTTTGTGCCAACATTTGCAACTCAATTTTTCAACTTCATTAAAAGCATGACAAAGTGAAAGGTTATTCAAACTCAAAGGTTAATGAAAAGTAAATTTTTGATTAATTATGACATTCATGGTTGTGGAATAATAAAGATTTCAAAGCAACTTGATAAATGCTGTAAACTGGTGAGTTGATGATTTTCAGTTTAATTAATGTTTACAATGTTTAGTCTTGTTAGACAATTATAAAACTGTACATTCTTGATCAACTTGAGATGGGCTTTTGTTGAAATATTTTTACTGTTTTAATAATTTGATAACATTGATAAAATTGATAATTTTCATGTTCAACTGAGAGGAAAATTTAAGTTGGAACTTTTATTTATTCACTTTGTTGTTTAGTTGTTTGAACAATGTTGATATAAATTCATGTTTACTGACCAAACCGGAAGGTCATTGACTAGTCTATACAGCAAGTAATCAGTACTCTGATTGATCACTTTGCTGAAAGCAGATGATGATGATTGTCAACGAAAAAACATGACGCCGAGGAAAGAGTAAAAAAGTAATTTCCATCAATCTTAGGTCAACTGTGTAAGACGTAAAAGCTAATCAGATTCCAAGTTTAGGTCGCAGTAAAGAAAAGCCATTGACTAAACTTTGAATAAATGAGCATTTCTCTCTTTGAAAATTGGTCAAACTTTGAAAGGGAAAAATGATAAAAAATGAATAAATTTAAAATAAAACTAATGGCAAAAATATTCATGATTTATCAATTGAAGAAAATGAGATTTATGTGAACAATATTGAAAGGGTCATGGAATTGACAATAACAATCATGCAGATTGGCGCAATTCCTATTTTGTTGTCTTTCCATTCAATTTATTACCAACTCTTGCTTTCTATGTGAAAATTTTTAAAAAATAAACTTATCACAGTTTCTTAAAAGGCCAAAGCTAAATCTATGAGATGGTCAATAGGAAATAATCTGAGTGAAACTGGAACTTCCGAGGGAGCTGGTCAATAGAAAAAGTCGAGCTTACTTTAAAATCGAAGCGAGTCATTAGTGAAAAAACGAGAGTACTTTTTGTTTAGTAATAATACTGCGTAATGATGAATTTATCAGAACAAAAAAGTATTAAAATAAAGTTTGAATAAACTTGAAAAAAGCGTTTGAATGGAAACTTTTAGTTAAATTGCGTTAATATTTAATTCTCAATTCTTCATCTCAAAACTTAGTAAACTTTGAGTGTAGTTCAGATCAAGTGACAAGAATGATGTGCAGACATGATGGAAAGGTGATCAAGTTAAATTATTCAGACAATAACAGTAACATGGAGCGGTTGACAGAAACTGTTGAATAAATGATTATGATCAAAAAGGTGTTAATATTCGTTGTGAGCACAAAATGATCAACTAATAACCTTTGATTCATTATAATTATGAGTAAAAATGATGAATTAATAACACGAGAAAAGTTGTTTTCAAAATGAACTTTTCTTTTCCTTCTTTTTCATCCTTATCTTTTTTCCTGGAACTTCATTAACCAGAGAAAAAAGAAGAGCAAAGTTAATGTAAGTGATGTAAAGATTGTTGAATATGGTGAAGAAGGTAAAGAGAAGCAAAAAAAGGATAAAGAAAAGAGGTTCGCTCCTTAATGTTGATATAATTGTGCGTAAAAGTGCCATCATTTATAAGAGAATTTACTTGTTTCAAGGAAAACTTGAATCAGCAATAAAATTGTAATGATGGTGATGATCCTGATGCTTGATATTTAAGATCATTTTCCTTGTCAATATCGTTAATTGAATGGATAAAGGAAAGAGAAGCAAAAAAAGGTCAACAAGTAATGTTAATTGTTTTACCCAGAGTTGATCCAGTGTCGAAAGATGAACTGCCAAGTTGAGCAACCATTTTAGGGAAACATCGAAATGTTCAGAAATTCACTTGGAATGGAAACTTTAAGATTGAAACAAAATTGGCACTCGATTGACTTTGGTTCAACAGTGACTGGGAAATGTATTCTTTTGTTTTGTCTCTTCGCCCTATGATCTTGTGATCATATCAAGTAAACAATTTGCAATTGATTTTGTTTTGTTTATTGTTTGCCTTTGTTTGCTTCAAGCATCCAAATGAACAGCTCAAGGGTTGTATGGTTGATTGATTGACTCGATATGTTAGAGGGTAACAAATGTGAAATGGTAAAGACAATGGAATGACTTGGAAAGAAAGAAAATGCTAAAACATAATTCTTCATTTTCTTGTCCTTACTAGCTATTATACAACGGAATAACAAGTTATCTGTTTCATATCGATTTATGTAATACAATGGATCAAGATAAAGGAAAGATCATTATCGAGACTAGGAAAAAGTGAAATCACAATTGTTTAATAAAATACAAATTGAATGTTTTTTAGTGACAAAAAGTGACTTTTTGCTCTTTTATTTTTCAATTTGAATTAGTTTCATCAATTCTCAACTGGCACAAATTGAATTGCATTCAATCATTGCTTTAAAATCTATCAATTGATCAAAGAATGGAAATAACCTGAAAATGCAGAACTACTTAGTCAATATTGTAACGAAAATTGGATACAACGTAATAGGAGTAAAAGTGAATGTCGTCCGACCTGATCGATTCCCGTGCCACTGAAATATGATTAAGAAAATGAAATGCTCTGGTTTTATTTGTTCATGCACAATGCTGGTAGAAATGAATTAACGAGTGTGAAAAGAGATTTAAGAATAAAAAACTTTTATTCTTGTTCTTGTTTAACCGAGGTGAAAATTTTATTGCATTCAGTTTATCATGCATTGTTGAAAAAGGGTAAAAATTGAATATCAAGATGGAAACGTTCAGGGTTGAAGGCAGAAATGCGAGACGAATAATTCACTGATATTAAAAAAGGCTGATGAAATATTAAAGAAGCAATCAAAATTATAAATTCACAATTTTTCATGAAATGGAGCAACTAAACAAAAAAATCTTATTCAACTTTAAAGCAAAAATGGAAAGCAAAAAAAAGGAAAGAGAGAGAAAAAATCGCAAGTGAAGGGAAAAGATTTTGACTGAACAGATGAAAAGAAATGCAACATTCCAAGATATTATTTATTATTCTTAATAATTTCCCCGGTGGATTCACCTTTTTTCTGGTAAATATCAATTTGAAACTATTTGCAATTCTCAGAACTTCCCTAAAAAAAAGAAAAAAAATTATCATCTCAGTGGTTAGTGAATTAGAATAACAAAAAAGTTAAAAAATGAAACCTGTAAAGCTTTGCTTTCAAAAAGACACTTGACAATTAGCTTATTCATCAGAAAAAGACAAGAGCAAAAAAGATCGTTTTAATGATTTTCTATTCAAAGTAATTCTAAAAGAAATTTTCAAGACTCAAAGAAAGTCTCACCTAACTCGTGCCGCTTGCAATTGAATTATTTTTATTTTCGAGTTTCGACAAAATTTTGACCATTCAGCACATTTAGCTTGGAGCGATTCACACGAAAAGTAGACAAATTTTGATAAAATGTTGCAAAGAAATTTACATGATTCATAAATTCAGTAGAATCTGATTTCTGTAAATTTTAAGAAAGATTGTTCCATGTTTTATCGATTTCTCGTCATTTTCGAAGTCACTTTTCGATGAGTATTTAACTGTTCATTTTTGCCAGTGAAGTTGAGACTGATTAGAAAAAAGTTGATGGATTAATGATTTTTAATTACAAGATGAGAAGAGGAAAATTGATGAAACTTGGAGTGAAAATATTCTCATTGAGCTAATAAGGTTGTAAAGGTGAACCCAAGATGAAGATGAGAATGATGAATAAAGAAATTTTGTTTTCCAATTGAAGAGTAATAAGCGAAATGATAAGGTAACACGATGAGGAAAAGAATGTGAACAGAATTCTGAATGATTATGATGAAAATTGAGTGAAGCCAAAATTTAAAAAAAAAGTGTAGAAAGAAAAGGAAAAAAGGAAAAGAGAGAAAAAAAGGAAATTCAGTAAAATGGATGATGATGATGAGAAAGCAAAAGGTTATTCATCATTTATAACATTGCGAGTGTTCCAGCTTTACCCATCTTGGCGAGTTGCAACACAACACAAAAAAAGGGAAAAGTTGAAGAATCACAAACTCACATTTATCATGAAAATTCACAACTTTGTCTGTCAGCAAAAGGTTCATCCATTTCGAGATGTTAACTCGTTCAACATGACGATTTGTTTGTAAAGACTGAAGAGTAGTCAAGAGAAGGAAGAAAAAAGTTTTGTTATAACTTTTTTTGTCCGTCACTTTTCACTGAATTTATCATTCATTTTGCAGCAAAATTTGAGTCTCTTTGCTCTTCTTCATTCAAATTATCAACAGAAAATATTCAAATGCAGAAAAGAGCTGAAAAAGGCTGGAGAAAAGTTCATGAAATGTGAATGGATAACAAAATCTTTATTCAAACTTTTTATTCATTTTTATCATTTTCTCTTCATTCTTGTTATAATAATTGATTTTACAACAATTTCATCGACTCTTTTCTTGCTATTGGCATTTAATCAAAGTTTTACAGCTTTCGTTGCAATCAATAGATCGTTGCTGTTAGCTCATGTTATCTCATCGATGCAACTCTGAATATCTGTTATTAATAATATTATTGTGATTGTTAACATTTGAAACTTTTCTTTTTTCATTTTTTTTTCTTTGCATTTTCTATTCAAGTGAAAAGTTGTTTTTTTGCTGCGAAAAAAAACTCTTTACACATTGTATTAAAAGAATGAACTTTTATCATGACAAATTGAAGCTTTGTTAACTAAAAACTTTCAACTTACTGAGACAGTTTTCATCAGATTTTATCAACTTTTTTCTTCATCAGCTTTTTTTGCTCTTTGTTTTCTTGCTTTCTTTTTCTTCTGCAAGAAAAGATGAGAATAACAAAATCAGTGAAAGG